ACAAGCTAAGAATGGGCAGGAGCGGGGTGGAAGTGGGGGACGGTAAGACTTTCTCATATAATATATATTATATATTGTGGATTTTAATTATATGGTGCAAGTGGATTAGGTCCATTATATTAAGTAATTGGTTAGACTGGATATTCAGGTTTAGTCTATATTTCACTAATATGCCTATATAAAAGTATGTATTGATAAGATACATGACATCAATTATATAGCATCTAAAGTTATGATACTCATGCTACTCGGAATAATACCAAGGGTTTTGAGTCAAGTGTAAAACAAAATGGCTAACATTATTTTGCAGGGTCTATTCTTCAAGAGGCAACACAATAAGATCAACTATGACCAGAGATCTACATTGCTTTGGCTTCCACTACTACAAGATTAGGTTTCTCATAGATTCTACTATGTATGGTTAGACTATATTGAGAAAAGTGTCAAATAGGCCCCTAAACTTTACATCAAAGGTCAATTAGCCCTCTAAACTTTACAAAAGTGCAATTAAACCCTTAAACATGTCAAATTGGGTCAATAAAATCCAAAAATTGATAAATGACCTGTTATTACAGGTAATTTCAATTCCAGCGTCAGATTCCAGCCACTGGCGGAGAATTCCGGCCACCGATGGAAAAATCCGATCACCGACGAAGAATTCCGGTCTTCTCCAATGGAGAAGGCGACTAGATCTGGGCGGTCTTCTCCACTGGAGAAGACGGCCAGATTTGGCCGTCCTTCTCCAATGGAGAAGACGGTCAGATCTGGTCGTTCTTCTCCAATGGAGAAGGCGGCCGTCCGGTCGTCTTATCCAGTGGAAGACGACTGGACGGCCGGATTTTGTCGCCGGTGACCGGATTTTGTCGTCGGTTGTCGAAATTCGTTGCCGGAATTGAAATGACCTGTAATAACAGGTCATTTACCGGTTTTTGGGCTTCGTTGACTCAACTTGACATGTTTGAGGGTTTAATTGCACTTTTGTAAAGTTTAGAGGGCCAATTGACCTTTGAGGTAAAGTTTAGGGGTCTATTTGACCCTTTTCTCGACTATATTTAAATCTAACAGAGACAACTACCCCATTCCCCTTCCCCCACCCCAATCCATGGATACACCCCTACAAGTGTGGCAACAATATCCTAATAAAAAAAAAAAAGTATTCTTTAACGAGCCCTTACATCAATGTAACAAATTCCATCTCCAACCCCCTCCATTCCCCTCTCCCCCAAATCGTAATTTTTATGCTTGTTATCTTTGTAAGAAAAATAAAAATCAGACAATTAAAGGACTCTTTATAAATCGATACTTGATTCACATTAAATTAAAGAATTCACATCATGGTGACTAGAAACCAATTGGGTGTGGGATGAAACCCACATGCATGCTTTGTGGGATGATGCAATCATGACTATTAGGGCATAAAGGAGGGGGGTTGAGGGTTGTAGCATTGAAGTGTGGTTGGCATGTCCCTCTCCTTTTTGGCTTTGCATATGCTATAGCATTAAAACATATTACCAAACTTGGTCTTAATTTGCTCTTTTTCGTCTTCTTTTTGGTATAATGTTGCCTCGTTTTAGAAAGTGAGCTATAAAGGAAAAACTTTTTGCACACAGCATCAGCATCTTCCATTTCTGTGCACTCAATCCTTCAAAGCCACAATGCCACAATGGCAATACTACTATACAAGCATCTTTATTGTTTTTTTATTATTATTTAAATAATACCAAACAACTATCAGCTAACAGCTAATTTACCAAATATCTTTCTACGATCAGCTAATGTTATGAACTAGTTATACCTTCTAATTAACCCAATCAGTTAACAGTTATCAGCTAATAGCCATTTACCAAAGAGGGTCAAGGACTTCTTTAATGCAAATCAAAGTACAAATCGTTGACAATAACAGAAGGAGGTATAGAAGACCACTCTTGTCGCACATACATAAAACATGCTTCCCTAACAAGGCTATGGGCTACATACTCTATTCGCAATACGACTAACATGAGAGATAGTTGTATCTTTACTTTTATATATTCACATTGTGTAATTAGAACAAGTTTACAGTATATTTATTTATTTTCAGTGTTTTTTCTTAAATTGAAAATTATTGGAATATTTAGATAATATTAATCGGACCAGTAAAAGCAATAACAAAGTATGAAATTATCGGAGTAGTCTTGCCATTTCCATTTTTGGAACAAATACATCATCATACTTGATTGTGTCAAAAAAAAAAAAAAAAAAAAAATAATAATAATAATAATAATAATAATAAGGCATGGGCATTATGTGGGTCTTTAATAGATCGAATTAAACAAAATAATAATTAAACTTTATTAAATTATTAATTTCAAAATATTTAACTATAATTAACACAATAAATAAATATTACTTGATTAAGGTCACATATACTTTCAAAGGACCACGATCCATTTACTCCATTTAGACCAAAATAGTATTAGGAATTTGTCCATACCAACCGTTCAATTGGTATTCATGTAATAAATTGTAAATAAATAAAGACGTAAAATTGATACCTGACAATCATAATGCAGTGACTCCTTGTAGATACTAAATACTGGTAATTCTCTCACTTAAAATGTTGTTGAGTCACTGTAATTTACTTCAACATCATGTCTGTCTATCAAGATTAGATGTAGAGGAGCTCGTATGAGTTTACATCACTGGTTTAGTAAGTAGTATTTGGAGGAAAAAATCAATGTTCGAAACTCAACAATGACAGTGTAGGAATTATACCTAAAGTGTGCAAATCCTTAGTGCACATTGATATTTGACCATATTTGATTAGCACTGAATTACTATAAGAATTATACATAAAGTGGGTAGATCCCTTATGCACACCGATATTTGACTATGTTTGCTGAATTACTGTAATTTACATCTTCGTAAATGTTTTGTGGGGAGTCCTTGTCATTGGAAATTCACCACACAAAATACTATTAGGGATTTGGTGATTCAACACAATTTAATGCCAAGGCCGACACCATAATTGCTCACTACGCCACCACAATTGTAGGCCGTATGCGTTTAGTACATTTGCAACCGGGCCCTGCTGCTACCATTTCCAAACCCAACATTTTTTCTTTAATTTCCTACTTACAAACTTATTTTTATTTATTACTCCGTATAAGATACTTTTAAAAATTATACTTCCCTTCTTTCATTTAGCATGACTTATTCATATGTGTGTGCTAAAGACTACAAAAAAAAAGTATATGTCTAAAATTTTATATAAAAAAATTCAGATTCAATCATTACTCTACTTAAAAACAAAAATTCTTTCCACAATTGTTTTTTGGTAACCACAAAATTCTAATTAAATTCAATTCTGCACATTCAAATATTAGTTGTGAACTTTTTTCGTAAATAAAATTAAAAAAAAAAAACATCTTTTTTTTTTTGTGACAATCTCACCAGAGAGCCATGTCGTTCATTAGTAGGGCGTTTCGAGAGGCACGGGAGCTGACCCAAAGAAAATCGTCACTTGTGATAATCAAACCTTAATTATCCAGGAATTCTTCCCCACAAAAAAAGCTCATTTGCCACTTGAGCTACCCTATTGGGTTTTATTTCTTTTAACTTGTTAGCATAGTTAAAAAACACTCTTAAATGTAATAACTTATACAATGGTGCTTATTTTCTTATACACATGTAAATTCTTTTCGACTTTACATTTCTTCTGCATTCAATGTATTATTTATTTATATTACATTAACCCCTTATAATTTTACTACTATTTTTTCATTAAACATTTATGTCTAAAAGAAATATTAAATTTTTTATACTAATGATAAAACTCATTACTTTTCATTTTATAATACTCTTTTATTCTATTTTACCTATCATGTTTATTATTTCATGACAATGATAAATAAAATTATATTTATTCATTTATCTTCTTTAATAATTTTTATGATATATTCTTTTTTTTTTTTTTGTATTTACAAAGTAGTAAAATTTCTAAAATATATAAATTTATAAATGTATTTACGTAAATTGAGATTTGGAGGGATATATTTGTGAAGCGTAACGTATGGGTTTAAACCGTTAGACTTTTTAGAGTTAAGTTATAACCAGAGTTGGGCAAGGTTTAGTTAGATTCTAACTCTGTGGGTGAGTTTACGACCGTTTCAAGGCATAGGCAACGACACAGCACTACAGTCATACACTGTCAAAATCCCAGAGAAAACAAATGAATTTCTGGCCTTGAAATGCTAATTCACTTTTCCAAACACACTCTTTTTTAAAAAAGTAAAATAAAATAAAATAAAATTATACATTAGATTTCTATGACTAATTATTCTTCCAAAGGTTGAATCTCAATCCCAAAGACAGTATACTCTCACCTGATAAAGCATTTATGAAGATATAAATCATTGTGACTCAATGACTCAACAACAGAGCCAAATGCTGGTGCACACAAGAAATCTGTTCACTTTAAGTATAATCCCGACACTGTTGTTATCGAGATTTATAGGACTAATTCTAAACCCACAGAACCGTGTTCAAGGATGTTAGAGGAGATAAACCATGAATAGTTCAGTGGAGGTAAATGACAAGTCACCTAGTTAGTCCTTGGTTTTCACACTTGTCTGTACACTTTGTGCACAAAGAGTCTTCATCGATTAATTTTAGTCTCCCAGTGAGGCTCATATCTTCGGTGAGAATTGAATATCTACCTTATCGCTAGAACAAGACTTTCAAGAATGATTTTTGAACTATTGAGCTAAGCTCGTTAGACTATTAATTCACTTTTAAAGCAAACATTCTTCTGTCTTTCGAGGTTTAGCGTAATTGATTTGATGCTTGACTTAAAAGGTCATGGAACCAGTGGACACTAATTGCACAATTCACAATTTACCTCTATAATGATTCTAAAGCCGAGTCATGTGAAATTAAGGAAAAAAAAAAAAAAACTCTCCGGTTATTTAACCACCATTTAATAATCCAGCACTAATACATAGATTCCCCATATAAAAATCTCCACCCAGACCACACAATCAGCATTGTTTCTCAACAGAAAGTCTCCATTCCCCACACTTTCTCTTCCTTTCTGTTACCACCAACCTTTTCTAGTCTTTTCTAGCACCAACCTTGTTAAAACACTAAACCCAAAGTTCATAACTTTTTCTTGCATAATTTGAAGCTTCTCATCCCCAAGATCTTGCAGAAGAGCTATGATGGCTGTTTTTGTACTCTCTTTAGTGCTTCTCTTTGCCTTGGCTGGCCATTCAAGTATGTTCTGTTTTCTTTATATAAATCTTCGTTATTTTCTGCTAGATCGTTCAAAGATTGAGTATTTATTAACCAAATCAAGAATCTCTGAGGTCAGGTGTCATACAAGTATGTTTTACAGATATGGGACTTCAGTTTTTTGTTAAAAAATATGTTGGCTTGCTCAAAGATTGAGTCTTTTCTTTTTCTTCTTAAAGAAAAATGTTAAAAGCTATCGAAAATGACGGTTTATAAGGAAATAAAGTTGTGTCTTTGCTACTGGCTATAGCTTTTGGCGTAGTGATAAGCGAAAACTGGTTTTGTGTTTTTGGTGTTTGGTAGGTGCAATGTACTGTTTATGCAAAGATGGGAGCAGTGTGGCTCAGCTTCAGAAGAACATAGATTTTTCCTGTGGAAGTGGGGCTGATTGTAGTGCAATCCTTCAAAATGGGGCATGTTTTAATCCCAACACTGTGAAAGATCATTGCAACTATGCTGTGAACAGCTATTATCAAAGGCAGAGCCAATCTGGAGCAAATTGTGATTTTTTTGGCACTGCAACCCTCAGTGATAAGCCACCTGGTAACCACTAAAACTAAGAAAATCATGAATTCCTTTTCTTGTTTTTTAATTAAACCATAGGAGAAGCCTTTTCATAGACCCTTCCTTTTTCACTTATGGAGTTTTGGGTGGATTCACTAATTTATATTCTTCTTTGTTGTCTGCAGGCTCAGTTCCTGGATCATGTGTTTATCAATCTACACCTGGGTATGTCTTCTATACCCATCTCTTTTTTTTTTAGATCTTTTTTTTTCATTTAGGCCCTGTTTGGTAAAATGGCTGTTAGCTAATAGTTGTTTGCTGATAGCTGATTGTGTTAATTAGAGAGTATAAATAGTTGATACCATTAGTTGATTGTAGAAAAGTGTTTGGTAAATTAGCTGTTTGCTGGTAGCTGTTTGATATAATTTCTTTTTTCAAAAAGCTAATTGAAAAAGTTGCTAGGAGTAGCTTTTTTAATTTTAGCCTTTTGGAGTTGCAAAAAGCTAATTAACCAAACATTTATATTGATATTTTAACTAAATCAAACAATTAATAGTGATCAAATAAGTCAAAATTGGCCTATAGGCCAATTTTTTACCAAACAGGGTATTTCCAGATTCTCTAAAGTGTATCTCAAGTATGATTTCACCTTTTTCCCTGGGGAGGGGGAGGGGGGTTGTCTAAGTACTATTACCCTGGGGAGGGGAGGGGAGGGGGGGGGGGGGGGGGGTTGTCTAAGTACTATTACCCTGGGGAGGGGGAGGGGGAGGGGGTCTAAGTACTATTACCCCACGGGCGGGGCTTAGGTTAAAGGGTTACCTTGGAAGTCTTGCTCTAGCGGCAGGATGGGGTTCGATTCCCATTGTATGGTAATGAATATTCTTTATGGTAAGGCTTGATCCTGGCATCAGAGGGAAGTTCGAGTTCCAGTAAGAGTGTAGTGGTAAGCGCTTGATCCTAATTTTCTTAATATTCTTGCAGCAACACGGGTGGAAGCACTGGGACGGGAAACGGCACACCAACTAATCCCGGGATCATCAACAACACGCCTTTCGGGTTTGGACCTGGACCGACAGGGGTTGGGATTAACCCGGATGGTAGCGCAGCGGCGACTCATCATAAACACTACGCGGCCCTTTTCACCCTAACACTTGTGTTTTCAAGCTTGATATGCCTAAGGGTTTGAACAAGCTAAGACAGGTGAATGGTTGCAAGGTGGGGAAGGAAAGATTGAGTGTAGGGGTTTGAGAAATGGTTGAAATTTTGCCAGAAAGGAGGCTTGGTTTTTACTGCATTGTGAAAATCACCTGCACTGAAGTCCCACTTGGACTTGTGTCTATTTTCTTGTTCTTTTCTTGAAAAAAAAAAAAAAAGAATTGGATTCCCCTTTCCAAGTGGAAGTTGTTGTGGTGGTAGTGTTAGATAGTGGTGGTCTGATCTCTTCTTTTTGGATTTTTTCTCCATGTACATCTAGAGAGTAGAGAAAAGGCTGTTGTGTTCTGTATTTCTTTATTTAATTCTAAGCTCAATTGCCTATTGTATTATATTCTTCTTTTGCTAGCTTAGGCATTAATCAAATGGTACATATAACAGGGCAGGTGTGTGTATTTTTAATACATCATCGAATTGCACTCAATAATGTAATAGAACCACAACTTGGGGGTGTGGTTGAGGAGAAAGGGCACATCCATCCTTAACCAAACGTCAAGGTTCGATCTTTGGCTTTAGGTGTGGAGCAGCCTTAAATCTTCAAGTCAGACCAGTTGTTTCACCCAATAGAGGTGCTTACAACTCAGCGAGGAGTTTAGTCACTGTGTTTGACAATGGAAACTCTAGGTGGTTGGGTACACCAAAAAAATGTGATTGGACCACTAATCTAAAAAGGTTACACTTGTGCTAGACCGCCTCACGGACGATCTTTATTCGTGGGACGGGTCGGATCAATATGCAAATGTAATACGTATACTAGCAAATGTAATACTAAATATTACATTTCATCTTAACCCGACTCTATCTCACACAAATTTTTGCCATCTAAAAGAAGGTGCAAGTGAAACTCTAAACTAACCAATTTCGTATAATTCGTCGAATTTGTGATAAAATCTTTTTACCCTGTTACTGAGCGACACATGTAATTTTTAAAATATATTTTAAATTTTTTTTTTTTTAAACAAACATCCCCTATTTCACCTATTTCGGATTAGTCCCCTCGTTAGATTGTAGGCACCTCTTTTGAGTGGAACAACTGACCGAAAGATTTAAAACTGCACCATTTCCAAAGTCAAGGATCAAATTCTTAACCTTTGATTAATGATGAATAAATCCTTTCCATCCAACCATACCCAAATTACAAATTCATCTTCTTGAAATGGACTCTCATAGACTTTCAAACTCCTAACCAAAATGTATTCGCAATTAAAACACAGGTTATCAATAAAAAAAGATAAGGAAAAAAAAAACTATTAAAACTCGTGGAACTTATTGAATTGGACTCTCATTAACTCTTCTATATTTATTCAGCATATTTCATGCTAGATAAGTAAAGCGGGTAAAAAATAATGGGAAAATGGTCAAATAGGCTCTCGAATTTTAGGGGTCGTTTGGTTCACGGAATGTCAGATTACTTTAGGGAATGTTAGATTGCTGGGAATGTTAGATTCCTGTGTTTGGTTAAAATTGGGGTATGTAATATAATCATGTTTGGTTTAGGGTTACCTTTTATTCACACACTATAATATCCTTAACATATTTTCATATATTTTAATAAATTTAAAAGTTAAAATAAATAAATAAGATAACGGTATCATATATAATTGCATGATTTTAAAATATTAACTAAAATCTTGAACTTGAGAAACAAAATTATTTTATATGCTAACCTAACATAATAAAAATAAAAAATATATAATTACAAAAATAATTATGTGTGTGTGAGTGATAAACTAACATAACCAATGTTATCTTACATAACCTTAGAAATTGAAGGGAATCACATTTCCTTCAAAATCCTATGTGGAGGGAATGTGACATTCGCTTATCTCGCTGCCAGTCGAAACAAAGGAAAAATCATGTAACAATATAGAAATGGCAAAATGAAAGCAACAACGTGAATGCAGTGTAGAGAAGGAATTGATAGAAACCAGGGTATAAACGGAAAACCAAATTGGAGATGGCCACGCCTTCTCCGGCGACGAATTGGTCTCCGTTGTAGATTTTTTATTGTCAGGACAATGGCCGGAATTTAAGTGACCTGGTATTACAGGCCACTAACAGGTAAATAGGCCTTAATGAACTAATTTAACTTGTTTATGTACCTAATTGTAACTTTAAAAACTTTAAAGGCCTAATTGACTTTTAAGTTAAAGTTTGAGGGTCTATTTGACCCTTTTCCTAAAAATAATTCCTACAATTTATAATTTATGTGCTTCCGTAGCCACCAAGAAATAAAAGCAAACATGAGTTTGTTGGAAATTTTTTAAAAAATAAATATTTTAAGTGGTTATTTTGAAATATAAATATATGTGAGATCCAATTTTAATTTGAGTCCGGTTAAAGTGCTTTCATGTTCTTCTAAATGAGGTTAGAGACAACGACATTCTGCCTCATTCCATATCGGGAGGAGGTTGCAAATGTCGGTGGCGGCAACCAAAAGCCAAAGAAAAATTAAAATAAATATGTTTTTACTAGTAACATGTTGGTTATTGGTAAATTAAGTTTAATTTTACAATTTTAAAGAGTTTAAGTGTGTAAATCAAGCTTTTTAAAAGTTGAAAGACATACTTGCTTTTTTCACTGAAAATTGAATGGTCTATTTGACCATTTTCCTTAATTTTTAAATTTTGTGTGGAATTTCAAACTAGTGCTAAATGTTTTTTTTTTTTTTTTTTTGGCTTATTTCCTCATATGGAGATGTTTCTATGTTATTATTACTCTCTCCGTCCCATTTTACGTGTTTGGTTCGGTTAACGAGAATTAATTGATGTCATTTTTAATCTAATTTTTTATAATATTAAGTTTAGTGTTAGTATACAAAAGTTATATATTTAGAAACTACACTACAAGTACTACTAAACACAAAAAATCAAAATTAAAAATAAGTAAAAAACACTAAAGAAAATAAATAAAGAAGAAAGATCGAGTTTGTTTGACCAATGAATAGTAAGTATGACATATAAAATATGACAAAAAGAGTATTTTATTTAAATATTGTATTATGGCATTTGTTTTCAAAGCATTAAGACCATAACCTGTAGGGTGTGGTTGAGTGGAAGGGACTCATCAATCCTTAACCAATGCAAAGGTCAAGGGTTTGGTTCTTGGTTTTGGGAATGGAGAGTAGCCTTAAATCTCCAGCAGGGTCGATTTTTAGATTTTCGTGGCAGAATAAATTACAATAATAATAATAATAATAATAATAATAATAATAATAATAATAATAATGTGCGCAAATTCACAATGTAAAAGGATTGAAAAATAGAAAAATGTCCAAAGCTAAAGTAGCACGCAAATCTCAAACCTTTGACCTATAAGTTGAAATACAATAAACACATCTCCTTACCATTTCGCCATGATACTTTTTAAATTTAATTAAAAACTTTTAGTTTTTATTTCTAAACTAACTAGGTAAAATTAAATATTGGACCTCTAAAATTTGGGGATCCTCTAAATTGTGGGGCCCTGTGCGGTAGCCCAGCTTGCACAGTCCAAAATCCGGCCCTGATATCCAGGCCAGCTGTTCCATCCAAAAGAGGTGCCTACAATTCAACGATAAAATTAGTCACTGTGTCCGGCTGTGGGAACCTGCGCAAATTATGCTGTGCAACCGAATGCACCTTGCAAGGTGCATACGGTTGCAAAACGGCGCCGTTTTGGTTAAAAAAACGCGCGGCCCACTTAAAGAAGAAATCAGGTTCGATTCCCAGCAATAGCATTTTTATATATCCAGAAATTCATAACTATATAACCACAATTTCATAACTATATATCCACAATTTCATAACTATATATCCACAGTGAATGAATGAAGTAAAAATCCACAATGAATGAATGAATGAAGTAAAAATCCATAATGAATGAATGAATGAAGTAAAAATCCACAATGAATGAACTAAATATCCACAATATATGATTGAACTAAATATCCACAATGAATGAACTAAATATCCATAAATTCATAACTATATAACCACAATTTCATAATTATATATCCACAATTTCATAACTATATATCCACAATAATGCTATTGCTGAGAGTCGAACCTGATTTTTTTTTTTTAAAGTGGGACGCGCGTTTTTAATCAAAACGACGTCGTTTTGAACCGTATGCACCATGCGCATGGTACATTCGGTTGCACAGCATAACTATTGGGGAACTTGGATATACCCAAAAAAAAAAAAAAAAAAAAAAAAAAAAAAAAAGAGCTTAAGACCATGTATATTTTTTTTTTTTTTTGGAAAAAGACCATGTATATTATTAAACGAAATTACGGAATGAATTTTTTTGGTACATTGATTTGCATTATTGGTATACTTTGGACATCAGCATTTCAAGATTATAAAATCAACAAATAAAGAAATTAATTTTTGTTATTGAAATAAAATAATGAATTCTATTATTAAACATCACAAGAAACAAATCTCCAAGTGAGGAAATAAGCAAAAAAAATTTAAAAATAAAATAAAAATTATGCTAGTTTGTAATTCTACATAAATTTAAAAATTATGATAATAATGTCAAATCAAATGATGATGTGGATGTTTAGTTGCCAAATAATAGTCCAACTCAACAAATTTAGATTGCGTTATCTTAATCGTGGGTTGAGCGCTATAATGGGTAAAATTGCTATAAACGGTAAATATTTGGTTATAGATTGCTAAATTAGAAAAAATGACACTTTTTTCTCAAGAATTATATTTTTTTTTTGAATGCTACTGGCTCTATTACATTATAGTATCTGTTCATATACTTTCTCAACCTACTGAAACACAAAGAGCCAATAACGCCTCCACCGAGGCTCGAATTCATAACCTTCCAAATGGAAGTCCAACCCGGGTACCATTAGACCACATAGTCCTGGTCAAGAATTATATGTTTATAGTGTTTTTTTAAATCTGAATTATTCACTATCAACGTTAGCCCCATTAATTATTTTAAAAGTGACATTTTTCCCTCTTTGTTAAATGGGTTTTTGGATTGATAAAAATAAGGGCAAAATATGTATTTGAAAGAACTTTCATTCTCCAACAAATTACACACTACCAATAAAAAAAAAAAAAAAAAAACATGTACGGAAGATGAAGACAATGACAATGCTATCTAAAAAAATTAAGAAGAATTAGTGAAATTTAAACCAAAAATAGTATTTATTTAGGCTATCGTTTTTAGACTGACATTATTACAAAATTGCAAATATTTATTTTAGTGACAATATAATCAATCTCTTATATATTATCTTGCATTTATATACTTTCAATTACCAATTTAAATAAATAAATTCAATATTTATTTACCTATGCATGAACATCTCCGATATAATATTCCATCGATATATTTTGAAATACTTATTTAAAACTAATCATTGGTTACGCAAATCACGTAAAAAAAAACTAGTAATATAATAATTAATGACTAAATCTACAATTTAGATATGATTAATAGACTAAAATGTCATTTTCCCTAATATAAATTAGTTGTTATTAACCCAGTTTGAATGTCAACTACACAATTCAGTTTAAAAGGTGTGAACAACCATAATTACTTCTGTAAAATCAAAGCAATTAACCCATGTCTTTCTTAGAGCGTCTTAATCAATCATTGATGCACTCTTTAAACAACCGAATCTTCTTCGAATGATTCCAACTTTCTTCCCACGAGTCCACGTACGATAATAATCATCAAACATCGTTGTTTTTGAACTGATTTTGACGTCTAGCATTGGGACGGAGCCTCACACTCACTGCCTCTTTAGATACTTCCGCAGAGATAGTTTCTGCTCAAGATTTTTCATTTCTACACGGAATTGAGTTAAGGTCAGTTACCCTTTTCCTATCTCTGCCCTTTTCTGGTGTTTCAACTGATTTCTTGAGTTTTTGCTAGCTAATTCTTGATACCCACTTGATTTCTTGAGTTTTTGGAAAGGGTGTTACAGTAGGACCATGTGTTAGAGTTTTAGTTAGTCCATTGGTCATTGTTATATGTGAGATTTTATCAATAATATATTCTATTCGGCTTGGTACCGAGTGAGGGTTAAAGAGCAGAATGGAGATTAAAGTTTAGCTGTAAGGGTGTTGAGTTTGCTTATTTTGGCTAAGCAAATTGAACTTTTTTTTACATGACAATGGGCCTTTTTCAAGTTTAGAAAGATGCATGATAATATTCTTTGTAGGATTAATCAATATTATTGCTGTTTTCTGGGACAGTGTGGGTGTTCATGCCTGCTTTGATAATGGGAATCTCCAAGAAGTTGTTACCGATATTCTGGTTTCTGCTTAGCCTTCAAGTGATAGCATCTCACAAGGAGCACCCTCTTGCCAGGATTGCAATTCATAAGACGGTTCTTGCTTTTGACAAAGATGCATACATTAAAGCCACCCCTTCGGTTCTTGGAGGCAACGTAAGTGCTTTTTCTTGCCATTCATAAGGTTAATTTCCCGTTGTCTGCTTTGAAAAGTGAAACAACTAACTTCGTTTTGGTCTTATTTTGAACCTATCTGTCTTTTAGGGCCAAAACCAAGAATGGGTTACTCTAGAATACAGTGTGTCAAACCCTTCAATTGATGATTGGATTGGAGTATTTTCACCAGCCAACTTCAGGTAAAAGGAAAAATTCTGCTTCACATCTATGCTGTACTCTAACTCCAAATATGGTATTAATAATCGGAATATAAATTAACCCGTAAACATTGGATAGTTGCAGAGAGAAACGATATCCTTTGCAGCATGAAAACTGTTTTACTAAGTTTTGGTGTCTTTTCATCTTTTGACACATGCCTACAATTTTGAAGTCAATCAACTTGTGTTCGTGAAAATCCAAGAATGTTTCCGCCACTATTGTGTACAGCACCCATAAAGGTTTGTACCATTTACATGTAATGAAAAGTTTTGAAGTACTTCTTGGATGCTTTTTTTTTTTTTTTTTTTTTTTTTTTTTCCGCAAAAGATTACCAAAAGAATTAGTGTGATATTAGTTCTTCACTTGATGTGCAGTATCAATTTGCAAATTATGCGAGCCCTGGTTACAAAGACACGGGGAAAGGATCATTGAAGCTCCAATTGATCAATCAGAGATTTGACTTCTCTTTTGTGTTGTTCACTGGTGGACTCTCGACAGTATGCTACTTTCTGTGTTATCTTTGTTTACCCAAATTAGTACTCGAGTATAGTGGTTAATACCCAATTTAGTTCTTGATTCTAACAGCTGATGACTCAATTAAGTAAAATTATCAAAGTCGAGGACCCAATTAAGCACAAAAAGACGTTTAGGACTAAATTGAGAAAAACCACTACAGTCGATGACTAAATTGGGTATTAACTCAAAATACTACTATTTATCTTGAAAGAATTTGATAGAACAAATCTCACTTAGTTCAAATTTGTCTTTATATTCCAACTTCTTCTATCCGGTTGGTTGCATGTAGTTTTGAGGTTTATAATGTAAGAGATCAGCATGCTTTATCGATGTTCCTTTGCTGTTATCTGATTAGTTTAATTTGTTTCTAAATGAAGTTCTAATTATCTTTATGGAATTTCTTGTCCTAAATGCTATTATTTCATTTAATGTTGCTATAATTTTATTCCCGTGCAACAGCCAAAGCTGGTGGCAGTCTCGAATACAGTTGCCTTTGCAAATCCAAACGCACCTTTATACCCACGGTTAGCCCAGGGAAAGACATGGAATGAAGTAGGTGTATTATTTGATATAGCTCTTCATTCTTGTGCATAGCATGTAATTGTATTAAAATGAAGAACGAATTACTTTGGCCTTGGTGGTTGATCAGATGACGGTGACATGGACAAGTGGATATGATATCAGCGAAGCCGAGCCTTTTGTGGAGTGGGGCCCTCGAGGAGGACAACAGATGCGTTCTCCTGCAGGGACGCTGACTTTCGACATCAGCAGCATGTGTGGTATGTTGAATGTTTGAGGTTTGAGTTTATTAATGGGCATTCTAATGGCAAATGGTTTATGAATATGGAGTACCATTTAGAAGACTTAGGCTATCCTTATCCCTAAAATACTCGGTTTCAGAAGTGGGTCCTACTTCCACATCATCAAATTTGCAATTTCTTCACTGTTTTCTTTACATTCTTGCAATCCCAACTCACTTTCAAAAATGGGTCCCGCTTTCGCATCCCTATAGTTTCTACTCACTTTTAATACCAAATAATAAGCAACATTGCAGGTGCACCGGCTAGAACTGTGGGATGGCGAGATCCCGGGTTTGTTCACACTAGTTTTTTGAAGGAGCTATGGCCCAACTCAGTGTAATGTTACCTCTTCTATCCAATGCCATTACTAGAGATTTGCAAATAATCCATGTCTTTAGAACTGTTGTTCGGTATTTACCCACAACTTCCATTTGATTTTGATGAGTTTTGGTTTTCGACCCACGATGCATTCTAAAGCTTTGATTTTAGCAGTGAAATGACCCGTTTTGCTCCTCGAGATTTGCAGGTATACCTACAAGGTGGGGCATAGATTGTTCAATGGTACTTATGTTTGGGGTCGATTAAACCAGTTTAAGTCTTCTCCTTACCCTGGGCAAAACTCTCTACAACGTGTAGTCATTTTTGGTGACATGGGAAAGGTTTGTATTCTCTTAATAGAAGCTTAACTATAAAGATGTAAAAGGCGCCAAAGACCTTGTGGTCAAGCGGCATGAAGTGATTCTTCCAAGTGGGAGGTCATGGATCATGGATTCGAGTCTCAGTGGAGTCAGTATTGACTCGTTGGATTTCAGTAGGTTGAGAAAGTATATACGAACATATGCAAAAAAAAAAAAAAAAGTAACAGGCTTTTGAACTTCAATTGGTCATGGCCATGTTGGTCTATACCGGTTTTGAACTTCAATAAAGTGCTCTCATTATAAACTTGCTTTGATGTAAACTTTTACATTACATATGCAGGATGAAGCTGATGGCTCCAATGAATATAATAATTTCCAACCCGGCTCCCTTAACACTACCAAGCAACTCATTCAGGATTTAAAGGATATTGATATCGTCTTCCACATCGGAGATATCTGTTATGCTAATGGATATATTTCACAGTGGGATCAGTTTACAGCTCAGATTGAGCCAATTGCTTCGACTGTTCCTTACATGGTTGCTAGGTATACTTCAAATCTTCTAAGAACTTGTCAAGCTCATAACGGTTTTTGGCTCCTCTTTTGTGGTGATTAATAGCATTGGCTTGCAGTGGCAACCATGAGCGCGACTGGCCTGGAACAGGATCATTCTACGGGAACATGGATTCGGGAGGAGAATGTGGAGTCTTGGTTCAAACTATGTTTTATGCTCCCACCGAGAACCGAGAAAAGTTTTGGTATATGATTATATTTTTGGTATTAAATACACACATCCAATATGACTTGGTTAAACAGCCAATATGATTGTTTAGTTACTCAGCTTTTTATAACAGTTTATTACTCTAAAATGCTAAAATTCAAAAAACTGCTTTGCGATCAACTTTTTGAGAAAATAAATTATACCCTAATCAGCTAACAGCTAAGTTACCAAACATCTTTCTACTAGTCGGCTACAACCAACTAATGCTATCAGCTAGTCAGACCCGCTAACTCAATCCGCTAATAGCTATTTGCCAAACACCCCATAAAAGCTAGGGACTTTGTCAGTTTGGGAGTTTCAATGTGACATAGTTGTAAACATTTTTGTCTTTTGTATGCTCTTAGGTACTCAACTGACTATGGCATGTTCCGGTTCTGCATAGCTGACACAGAACACGACTGGAGAGAGGGAACGGAGCAATATAAGTTCATCGAACACTGTCTGGCGTCAGCAGACAGACAAAAACAACCGTGGCTTATCTTCCTTGCACACCGAGTCCTCGGTTATTCTTCGTGCTCATACTATGTTGAGCAAGGATCAACTGAGGAACCCATGGGGAGGGAGAGCCTTCAAAAGCTCTGGCAAAAGTATAAAGTTGATATCGCTATCTTCGGGCATGTGCACAATTATGAGCGAACATGCCCTGTTTACCAGGTATTCCCAAATTCTGAGAAGACTGCTCTCTTTTTTTTGTCCTAACAATTTATATTCTATCCTTTGACAAAGAGATGAGACAACAATCTATGAGCTTTCAATTATTTTAGGGAAAAGGGTCAAATAGGCCCTCGAACTTTACACGATAAAGAAATTAGACCTCTGATTCTCTGAACTTTTAAAAGTTGCAGTTAAGCTCATAAGCATGCTATTTTCGTGCATTGGAACCCCAAAATTGGTTAATGACCTGTAATAATAGGTCACTAGGTTCTAACGAGACTTTGACAACTCTGGGACAGTCAATTGCCGGTTGCCTTTGAAACCTAGATGGTCGCCTTCTTCGATGAGAAGGCGACCACTCCGTTGAGAAGGCAACCCAGGTGGTCAACGTCGACTTTTTGAGACAGTCAACGGCAGCCAGCGACGACCTGCATACCGCTAACCTGCTGGTTACCAGTAAATTAGACTTATTTGACCGATTTTAATAAGTCGGAGTGTTTAATTGCAACTTTCAAAAGTTCAATGGTCTAATTGCCTTCTCGTGTAAAGTTGGAGGGTCTATTTGACTCTTTTCCCGTTATTTTATTAAGATGTTCCTTTAGTACTAAAGGAACATGATCAGAACTAGTGCTAAAGCTCTCTAAATGGAGAAATATAGAACCCATATAGCCAACCCAAACCAGATTATGATTAATGCTTCATTAAGTTGAGATGTAGAGAACTTTCTATCAAACCAGAAATCACCTCCTCCACAAAGCATCTTGTTATCTTTTCTTCTGACAAAAAGCATTGTTCATCCTCTCTCTTTTATCCCACAGAATATTTGCACAAACAAGGAGAAGAACTTCTACAAGGGACCTTTGAACGGGACAATACATGTCGTCGCTGGTGGAGCAGGAGCAAGCATCTTGGACTCGGACTTTGCCCCCATCCAACCGTCGTGGAGTCTTTTCAGGGACTTTGATCATGGGTTCGTGAAACTGACAGCTTTCGACCATTCAAATCTGCTGTTCGAGTACAAAAAGAGCAGAGATGGTAAGGTTTACGATTCCTTCAGGATATCGAGAGACTACAGAGACATCCTAGCTTGTGCTGTAGATAGCTGCCCTAGCACAACACTTGCTTCTTGATGCTATGATACAGGACTCCACTTCTTAGTCCAATCCACTTCAAATCTATGTTATAACTGGAGCATTTTGTGATGATGAAATAGAGTTTTCCCAAAATAGTTTCCTATCTGAATATTACAAGAATTCCTCTTTGCTAAATGGCCTGGGTTTTCAGTCAAGCAAGAATTAACACAAAAATATGCCCCCGGGCATAGCTCAGTGGCGAAAGCCGAAAGGTTGAGTGTGGTGTAGCGACCCAACAAATACCTGAGTTCGAATCCTCAATAGGAGAGAATCTCAGCCTTAGGGCAAAAAGCAAGCACTCGGACCCTGACCCTGCTTCCCTAAGTCACATCCGTGATTTACCTTTTCTCAAAATCCCTAGGGCAAAGGTGAGGGACCCTCAGGTTTAGGGTTTTAAACCTAAGGAAGGATCTCAGCCTTGGGGCAAAAAGCAAGCACTCAGACCCTGGCCTTGCATCACCAAGGCACATTTCGCAATTTACCTTCTCTCACAATCCCCAGGGCATGGGGTGAGGGGCCCGCAAGTTTAGGGTTTAAACCTAAAAATTAACACAAAAATATTGAAAACAATTAACTTGAATGTTTAGAAATGGTAATTTTTGTAATCCAGTGTATTTAGAGAAGATTTGCAAGCTTTCTTTAATTGTGGAAGTGTTATTTTGGACAGTGGCCTTCAATGTTGCCACAGAAAGCTAAGAACTGGATCCATTCAAATCCAATGTAAACTTTACAATGGGAAGACTTTCTTCTTCCTAAAGTAGATCAAGAATAAAGAATATAAACCCCCACAAAATGCTACAGTTATAGCAATAACCCAGTTAAATGTTTCTGGGTCATTAAAAATTGTGTCTTCAAAGTTCATCCCAAAGACTGCAGTCACCATGGCAAATATTGTGGCCACAAATGTAGCTGCTGTCAGAAGCAACTCATATTGTATAAGCTGGTTTTGGACATTGCCCTGTGTTACACATGAACAAATATCGCAATGACAACCACATCACAGCTAAAGAATATACAGCAAATATGTCTCTTTTCAAGGGAAAATTGCACTTTTTGTCCCTAAGTTATAGGGTAATTGTAGGATTCGTTCCTACTTGTTGGTCGTGCTCACTTCTCATCCCTAAGCTATAACTGATGTTGCAAATTTAGTCATTTTTTTCTAACAAGCTGTACTCACGGTCCCTAAGCTATAACTGACGTTGCAAGTTTTGTCCTTTTTTATAACAGGTCGTGCTCACTTCTCATCCTTAAGCTATAACGACGTTGCAAATTTCGTCCCTAATGTTTTGTTAGAAAAAGGACAAAATTTGCAACGCCAGTTATAGCTTAGGGACAGTGAGTACGACTGGTTAGAGAAAAGGACGAAATTTGCAACGTATAGTGAGTACGACCTGTTAGAAAAAAGGACGAAATTTGCAACGAGTTTTGTAGGGACGAATCTTATAATTACCTTATAACTTAGGGACGAAAAGTACAATTTTCCCTTTAAATAAAAAAATTAAAAAATTGGGGTGGCGTGGTTAAGTAATATGGTCTTACCAGTTTTATGTTGATCAGATCCTCTGTGTCATCAATATATTCTTTAAGCTGCATCGGCGGAGAACAAAAGGTGAGGAACCAAATTATTTTTGCTTCATATTAAAAACAACGATATTCATTAAGCAATCTGGTGAATAACAGTCTACTCCAAAACGCATATGAGCAACACTTAGAGATTTGGAGCGAGAAAGTAGAGGTTCAATTATGCCACTCTTACCGACAGCAAGCTGTTGAGTGTATTGTCACTGACAACAAAATATGCTTCCAACAGCATTTCAAGTTGATCGATATTTTCTCCATTGCTGGATGAACTCATAAAGCTTCCATGTTTGCTGGAGCTGATACTGCTAAAAGCCCTTTTTAATCTCTGCCCTCCACCGCTATTTGATCCCACAGGTGATACCGGAGCAGATTTGGGCGGTAATCTGATATTTCGAGAAGTACTAATGCGATCATATGGATCGCTAGTAAGGAAACCCTCTTTTCTCTGTTTCTTCTCGGTTAAATACATCTCAGCCATGTCTCCATCATCATCCATTAGGTGTTCTATTTCATCACAAACCTGGAGATGAATTGAAAAGTTTGTACGAGCAGTATAAGAAGTTACCCGAGCAATAATGACCTAAAGCAATGAAATATACAGTCTAACCTTTTGGACTCGTTGAGTCAAGGCGAGCAGTTGACCTTTCAATCTACGGACACGTTCCAGATTAAGAGTGCTTATAGATGATGCAAGTTCGTCAAGCACTGGGTGGACCTCGGTTTCTAATTCTTTCACCTATGATATTTACAATGCTGTCAAAGCCAGTGAATTCTTACATACAATTTGTCTTTCTTGAAGGATAATCCTATTAGCGATGAAATTTTATATTCATACTTTTGTATCACTTAAATAAGGACAAAGAAATGTTTCACCAATACATCTAACCTGATTTCTTCCATTCTAAAATACAATTCTTTGATAATCAAGGCTATTTAGATTTACCAATCTAACAAACTGGACTTCAGCAAGTGAGCCTATTATAGTACAATCTACCAATATCCTTTTTCCGGTTGTTGAGCATTGTGCAATCCAACTATCAGCTTAGGCTTGTAGTTGAGATGGAGCACATGCTTCAATTTGGTATCAGAGCTAGACCAAAGGTCAAGGGTTCAAATCTCTACGTCACCCGATAAGCGACTACGGTTCACGTGTTGCTTGGAACCCATCGCACACGTGAAGGGGCGTGTTGAGCATTGTGCAATCCAACTATCAGCTTAGGTTTTTAGTTGAGATGGAGCACATGCTTCAATTCCCGTTTCCAATTTAACACAAAAATGGCATATGGCATTGGAAGATGCATACCTGAGCATCAAGCGACATGCATGTCAGTTCCAAAGCAAGCTCCAAAGCCTTGAATTCAAACGGAAGATCATCTGAACCAAATTTCAGAAACAAATCATAAAGTACCCGTAATTTTCAAAAGGAACCATAACTCGTTCCAACAGAATAGAGTACCAGAGTAGTACATCTTTTACTTTAAGCACATTTATTTTTAGTGAAACTTACAGCACGTTTACTCCTAGTTCGAAAATTTGGTGACAATAATGCAAGATGATTGAGAAAATTCAAAAAAAAATAAATGACACTATTTCTAAAGCGGGATGAATGGCTCTTGAGGACTTAATTTCAACATCAAACAATATAGGAATTTTACCAGACTGATCTTTATTCGTTTGAAGACGTTTGCACAATTCTGACTGGTAATGGAGCACACTTGCATCCAGAGAATTCATCAGTATAACCTCATCAGCCGTGATGATACATCTAATCTGTTCAAGACTAATAACAATAGCTTGCTCACGACCTAATATAGTTGAGGGATAGATAAACATAGGATCCAAAAGCCGCATATCTCTAGCTGGCAAAGAACAATGTCTCATTACTGTCGCCTTATCCAATTCCAAAACCTTTGAATTCCCATGCTGGTCAATCTTTATCCAAGATCGATTCCCAATACCATGCCCCCTCTTCTTAAGGCCAGGAAGCCCAGACCCATTGACGTTAGCATTTAACCTTTGATGGCTAAAAGAAGACCTAGGTTCAACAGCATCTGAAGTTAGAGAATGATATTCTGGTTCTGCCATTTGCTTCTTTAACGTTTTATATAACAACTTGGGTCTCACAGAGGAACGATAGCCTCATAGCCATAAACTCAAAATTAACATTTCTTCAGTAATGCAGCCTTATGGATCTCAGCTGAGTAACATAAAGCACTAACCACTCTTCTTGTCAAGACATCCATCCATTTACATTTTGAATTAACACTGCATATCAAATTCAGGTAGATAATAAATTCTATGAACTAATAATTACATAAACAGAACAATTCCAAAAAAGAAGAAAGTCCTAAGTTCTCCCATTCCAATGTCTAAGTTTTGTTACTAGAAAATGAACTCCATACTTAAACCCGCAAAATTACTTTTCCTCGTGAAGCATGGCCTGGAACAACAGATCCCAAGTTTTTCATTGTTGTACTAAATCTGCTTAGTTTATTACTCCCTGCGTCCCATTTTACGTGTCGGGTTCAGTTAACGAGGCTTGACTACAATTATTTACAATTTAATTTTTCATAATATTAAGTTTAGAAGTAGTATGTAAAATTTATATATATAGAAACTATATTAAAAGTACTATTAAACTCAAAAATTCAAATTTAAAAATTTATAAGAAAACCTAATAGAAACAAGCAAAGAAGAAAGAATTGTTTGACCAATGAATAGTAAGTAAGACAGATAAAATGGAAGAAAGGGAGTATAAAGCAGCAAGGCAATGAAAACCATTCACCCATCTATACACCTACCTATGCATTTATTTTTATACTGGAAATCCCAAAGACTAATGTTCTTGTTTTCTACTGCATCATAAGCTAGGGTCCTAGGAACCATAACTGTTAAACCTCTGACTTTCATTAAAATTTGATTTATATTTTAGGTCAAATTCAACCTAAGAATAATCATGACATTAGCAAATTTCAGATAACTTTAATAAGTCAAACAAAAAAATCAAAATCAGAAAACAGAGAAAAAAAAAATCATAATTTTCCACTTGTACCTAAACAACTACAAAATGAAACAACAATTAAAACCTTGAAAGGTCCCCAATTATCCAGAAATGCATTTTCAGATAAAACTGAGCTGTAAAAACCGCACTGAACATCACAATGAATGATCTTTAACTTGCAGAGGTGAACAGTGGATGTGTGCACTCGTGGATTTAAAGATAACACTTCAAAAAAGATTTCACCTTTTTTCAAGAAGACATGAATTTGTATCGGAAGGTGTGTTGCGTGATTGAAACCCGAGCAAAGAAATTGTTTTGTTTTGCCTTGGGTTCTGTGGGGAATTTGTTGTGATGTTGGGTTATTGGATTGCAGGAAGGGTCGGGGCGAGGCGTGGCGTCGCTGACCAGTGCGTTGTTCTGGTGTTTATTAATTTAGGAAAATATTATGTGAAATTTCATTTTTAAGAAAATAATTTTTTAAGTTTTCAAAAAAAAAATAAAAATTTGGAACCCTTCAATCCTGTCATAAATGTTTCCCTCGTCACTCAAAATAAAAAATTAAAAATTAAAACCTCCAAAAAAAAAAAGCCCACACATACAAAATCAAGATCAAATATTGAAATCACCAACCAACTATTACTAGCTTACTCAATATAATTGAAATTTTTTAGCGTCGAACAATATAATTAAATATATATAAATTTAACATGATAAAATTTTGATATATATTAAATTGTTAAATATTTTTAAAAAATCTACTAAATCTACAACTGACTGATTAACTGGTCAAAAAACATTGATTCGGTTACAAACTTCGATTCGGTTAATGGTTAAACTTTTAAAAACTTCAATTAACCGATTGCACAACCCTAGTTGTGTTGGCCCGCCGTTGACTGCCTAAAAATCATAAAACCAACAATATATTAGTAATCCACAAATGTGGATGCTCTTAAAAAGGTACAAGTGGCACATTTCCATCTTGGAGCCCGCTATGCATTAAAATGCTAACTCATAGTTAATGTGTGCTATTATATTCCAAAATTAATAGCCCCCAATGATGATTGCACTCGCAACCTTTCGCTTACGAAGTAAATGCACTACCACTGTGCTACAAAGGCGATCACTCATGTTAACACTCTCATTCTTAAAATCCGCAAATAATCCACTAATGTGGTTGCACTTAGAAAAGTACAAGTGGCACATTTCCATCATTTACGCTTTTTCATTTTTTTTATTATATATTTTAATTCAATGGTCTATTTGACCCTTATTTCCATTTTTAATTATATTTTAAAATTAATAGCCCCAGAAGAGGATCGAACTCACAACTTTTCACTTACGAAGCAAACACACTACCACTATGCTACAGAGGCTATCACTCATTTTGACACTCTCATTCTTAAAATCCGTGAATAATCCACAGATGTGGATGCTCTTAGAAAAGTACAAGTGGCACATTTCCATCTTGGAGCCCGCTATGCATTAAAATGTTAACTCGTAGTTAATTTGTGCTTGTTCATTTTTCTTAATTATATATTTTAGTTCAATGGTCTATTTAACCCTTATTTATATTCTAATTATATTTTGGAATTAACAGCCCCCGACGAGGATTGAACTCATGACCTTTCGCTTACAAAGCGAACGCACTACCACTATGCTACGGAGGCTATCGCTCATTTTGACACTCTCATTCTTAAAATCCGCGAATAATCCACAGATGTGGATGCTCTTAGAAAAGTACAAATGACACATTTCCATCTTGGAGCCCGCTATGCATTAAAATGTTAACTCGTAGTTAATTTGTGCTTCTTCATTTTTTTAAATAATATGTTTTAGTTCAATGGTCTAGCCCCCGACGAGGATTGAACTCGTGACCTTTCACTTACGAAGCGAACGCACTACCACTATGCTACAGAGGCTGTTGCTCATTTTGACACTCTCATTCTTAAAATCCGTGAATAATCCACAGATGTGGATGCTCTTAGAAAAGTACAAGTGGCACATTTTCATCTTGGAGCCCGCTATGGCATTAAAATGTTAACTCGCAGTTAGTTTGTGCCCGCGAATAATCCACATAAATGTGGATGTTTTGAATTATATAATTTAGTTCAATGGTCTATTTGACCCTTATTTTTATTTTAATTATATTTTTTGGAATTAATAGCCCCCGACGAGGATCGAACTCGTGACCTTTCACTTACGAAGCGAACGCACTACCACTATGCTACGGAGGCGGTCGCTCATTTTGATACTCTCATTCTTAAAATCGTGACCTTTCACTTACGAAGCGAACGCACTACCACTATGCTACGGAGGCGGTCGCTCATTTTGATACTCTCATTCTTAAAATCCGTGAATAATCCACAAATGTGGATGCTCTTAGAAAAGTACAAGTGACACATTTCCATCTTGGAACCCGCTATGCATTAAAATACTAACTCGTAGTTATAATTTGCGCCCACGAATAATCCATAGAGAAGGTAGAGAGCTGTGTGTTTCTTGTCAAATATGAGAAATGTAAAGTAGTGTTATTAGGATAAGGTTTAAATACCAAGTAAGGTTGAAAATACTAGAATGACCTCTCTTATTCTCAAAAAAGGTTAGGTAGAATGCATAAAGTTCAATTAAGAAATTAGGGTGGGATTTAGCAACGCAAGGGATGTGCATGTGCTATGCTATCTCGTAGTTAATTTGCGCTTTTTTTGGTTTTGGTTTGTAATTACGGAGTACATTTTAATTATATATATAAACTAATAGCCCCCGGCGAGGATCGAACTCGCGACCTTTCGCTTACGAAGCGAACGCACTACCACTATGCTACGGAGGCTGTCGGTCCTTTTTTCCCATAAAAAAAATTATATTCGTATTCAATAAACACGAACAGAGAATTACTCAATTTAGTTCATGCAAAACCCTAATTCGAGCTTCACAGCAGCAAAAAATAAAAAATTAGGGTTTAAGCAAAACTGCAGATTACAGAGGCGATAGCGACATGTGTGGAATTGCGCTGATTGTTTCCGGAATTCGCATCGACTTATCGTCTCTTCTCCCAGATTTCATCTCTCCGACCCCTCAATTTCATCAGCAGGTAATTTTACTTTACGGAAAGTTGATGCACTGACTCACATTTATGCATTTGCGCGAGTATTTCTCCGTTTTGTTTTGACATTTTATCAAACAGGCTTTGTTTTTAGAGGAAGATATCAAAACTGCTTTGCGTAGAAGAGGTCCAGACAGCTTAGGAAGCAAGACTGTGTTTCTTCATTCCAAAACCTCTTTTTTTGGTGAAGGGGAATGTGAAATTGTTGCTATTACTGATAATGAAAATTGTAGTAAAAAAAGTGACATCAAGCTCAGTAATGGTTGTGGTAAAGAATTGTTTGGAGAATTACGGTTTATTGGGGCTACATTGCAGCTTAGAGGAGTTAATCCTATTGTTCAGCCTTTGGTGGATGAATGTGGAAATATTCTTGTATACAATGGTACGGCTTACATTATTATTGTTATTAAGCTACGTTATTATCATGTTTATTGCATGTGGAAAAATGATAATCCATATGGTTTTAGTGCGTTTTTGTCTTGAAGCATAAAAAATCATTGGTACCTTTTTGGCTTTTTCATATGTGTATGCTGTGTTCACACATGATTAAGATGATTAATTTGTACAAAAAACATATTTGGATAATGGAAATGTAACTTGTTGCTGAATTCTGATAATATTATATGTGAAATGAGATCCTTTGGTATTAGCTGTATCATGTATGGCATAATGGCGATGCATCCTGTTTCTAGTTCTCCCTTCCAAAGCTGATTTTTTTTTTTTTTTTTAAATTGTAATTTATAGGTGAAGTTTTTGGAGGTATTTGTGTGGCTAGCAATGGCAATGACACGGAGTTTCTGATGCAATCCTTGAGAGAATGCTGCTGTTGTATTTCAAGTGGACATAATAGATCTCATTTTTCTGATGGACAACTGCAGAGCTCAATTCCTGAGCTTCTTTCTCGAATCAAGGGACCATGGGCTATGATATATTGGCAGGTACTATGAGTGGTAAGTTCTTTTCAGCTTTACTTTAAATGCTGCAATTATGCATCGTTTTAAAGCCTGTGTTACTGAAATTTTGTGTCCTTGCATGTAGAATAGCTCAAAGACATTGTGGTTTGGAAGAGATGCATTTGGCAGGCGGAGCCTTCTTGTTCATTGGCCTACTAAGGAGGACTCTCGTTTTCTGCTATCTTCTGTGTCACCACCTTCTTCAACTTGTGAAAGCTCAGGTGCATAGTTGTCAATGGACTTTTACATTTCTCTTCTTTCTACTTAGTATATACTAGTTCAGAAAATCTGTAATTCGTTAGCAAAATTTCCTTGATAGTTATGTGAATTCTCACATTCATTAGACAATAATTAGAATGGTAGATTAATATTTAATAATGAATCTAACAGCAAATTTGCAAAGGTTAAACAATTTAGGGTGTTTTGTTTAGACCTAATTTGACTTGAAATTCTCGGCCTATTAGGTTCATTTGGTACATCATATCTGCCTGTTGGCATGGTGTGTCACAGTCTTTCCCCCGCTAAGATCAAAATATGCCCAAGTACTATGAGTTGGGCTTTCGACAGATGATAATGGAAACCAATCACTAGGAAAGGGTAAATAAACTACTAAGAGAGGAAATGGAGAAACCATTGATATCTCTACAGTCTACACCACCTTGCATGTGCCATCAGCTGGCAATTTTTTTCAATCTATAAGCATGCTCTATAATGAACCATTATTTTTGCATTCATACAATATTTTAATATATGGTCTACTATGAGTCCTACTTACAGGCTTCTGTGACTGTGAACAAAGTTATAGCGTGGACTTCTGGGAAGAACTTCCATGTGGAGTGTACAGTTTATCTATTGGTGCTTATCAAACCAATAGAGATTTGGTTGGTGACATTAGGAAACATGATTGGCCTGATCCAAAACTTAAAGAACTGATTAGGTGGGAGAGAACTTGCGTACAACCCACCCCAGAGGAACTGCACATTTCTCGGATAGAGGTCTCTTGCCGTGAGCAGGATAATAATCCCAATAATTCTGGTAGTACTTGAACTGAATTATATTGTTTAATGTTATGCATGCAGTTAGAAACAACTGTGATACTCATACTCTTACTATTTGCAATTAGATGCCATGAGTCCCATGACATTTAAGATGCTTTGGAATCTCTAGTATTTGATTTTCATGTTGCTTGGCTCAAACATGACTCAAGTTTTTTCTTCCAATAGTTTCAGGTCGTATACAGTGTTCATCTACATTGCCACTGCAGAAAGTGATGAATGCTTTAAGAGAATCTGTAATGAAACGAACTTCAAATGATACAGTTTATCAGGTTTCCAACTGACTAATGTGAACTTGTGTTGCTATTATACACTCATGTGCCATGCTTCATACATAATTATAGAAAGGAAAAAAATGTTTCTTTCTATTTTTTTGGTACATCTGAAACTAATGTTCTGATGTTCCTTTCTTGTTGTATGTCTTTTGAAGACCTTTCCTGCCTTACGTTTGATGCACTAGCTTGTGAATGTGGGAGTATTTGTTTCTATAGTAATTCCTGTTGGTGCTTTGAGTTTGATGCACCACATTTTCACAGAAGTACATTTTCCTTTTGCTTTTGGAAATGCTGGAATGGACAAGATTGCGAAGAATAAACTCTTTTCTTTATGTCAAACAAGCTGCTTTTACCTATTGCTCCTTGCCTCCTTTTTCCTTTTATTGAACCAATTTTTACCATGATTCAATTACAATTACTTTTTTTATAAACTTATAAAAAATGTTATTAATTTTTCAATTTTTTAAATATATTCATAATATTCTTGTTGTATTTATAATGTTCCTTAATGTAGGCAGTTTCACTTGGATGTGATCATAAAAACTATGCTCCAGTAGCGCTGCTCTTTTCTGGCGGATTGGATTCTATGATACTAGCAGCGTTGATGGATCAGTGCATGGATGCTGAATGTGAGTGCTTATGTGTATCTGCTGGATTATATTTTTGAATTTTAATTATACAATTATTTTTTAAGCTCCTTTCTCGCTGCCTAATCAAGAATCATTTATTTCTAGAGTATTGGTTTAGAATTTATTCTTTCTTCTGCTTTTTGGATGTAGATGAAATTGATCTACTTAATGTAAGCTTTGATGGTCAGTGTGCCCCTGATAGAATTTCTGCTAGGGCAGGTCTAAAGGAACTTCAAAGAATTGCCCCATCAAGAAGGTATGCAGTTATCCTTGTCCTTCTGCATGAAATAGAAGGCATTTATATTGAAGATGTGTGTTGATAATGGCATAATGCTCATGGCTCTTCGAAAGTAATTTTCCTTACCCTGTTTTGGTATTTCAGCAAGGCAGTAATTTAGGCTTACCTCTGTTTTTTTTTTTTTTTTAAATCCAATGAGATCGCCCCTCTAGTTGGAATGTTGGATCATTACCAGGGTTGTTGGAGTTAATATTCGATGTGTTCTTCTATTGTGTCGCTACTGCTCTGTGTCTTATTTATCTGTAATGATCTTTGCGTTTGTCTCTCTTTTTTAATCACTTTGGTGTTTGACTTGTAGAAATGTCTGAATTGCAGATGGAAACTTGTAGAAATTGATGCCGATCTTCTAAAGTTGACCTCCGAAACAAAACATGTCATGTCACTTATAAATCCTGCAAAGACCTACATGGTACATTTCTTGTGACTGTTGTGCTGTTCTAAGCATTTTCATACATGATCTCTCCTAGTAAAAGATGTATGTTGCTTTTGCCCAATTGAAACTTATCCAAATAGATCACTATTGCTAAGAGCTTTTAATACATTCAGACATTCAGTTGAATGTATGTTGAGAGTTCTTGGAAAAGAAAAGTTGTTTGGATATTTACTCTTTTGGCATTATTGATGGTCATAGTTACAATAAAGGACTGTATTTATTAACTTAAGAAATAAAAACTAATCAAATGTAGGAGATATAAAGGTGTTTAGCTATACACTTCCAAAAGCTATAAACAAATGTGAGGAGAAACCCAAAAAATGGGAAGCAGTCTGTTCATCAAAATACAATACTTTATATCACATGTTGAAGTCATTCCTAAAAATTGATTCAGGACCTGAATATTGGAATAGCACTATGGTTGGCAGCTGGTGGTGATGGTTGGGTGTATCAAAACACGAGCGCTAGTAATGGAGAAAGATTTGAACGTATCAAGTATAAGTCTGACGCCAGGGTTCTCCTGGTAGGCTCTGGTGCCGATGAGCAGTGTGCTGGATATGGCCGGCATAGGACAAAATTTAGAAATGGAAGGTGAGTTTAGAGAATGTGTTGATTTTTAAATGTTCCATCTCCAATAGGCTCACGGGCATTAAAATGTGATTATACTGGTTCTCTGGGCCCCTATCCAACATGGTATAATGCTGTTAATTCTTAATCTTTTACAACTGTGGCTTTATTACGGGTCTTTTGCTCCTTCCAAATGGTTGGTTCATTGTGCTTAATAAATAGCTGGCTAGGGTTGAGTGAGGAAATGAAATTAGACATGCAAAGGATTTGGAAGAGGAATCTAGGACGAGATGATAGATGCATTGCCGACAATGGCAAGGAGGTATGTCAGTAACTCTAGTATTTCATTTTTCGGTAGCGTTTTCCAGTTAATAATGCACTTGTTATATGTTTTTCAGGCTAGATTTCCTTTCTTGGATGAGGACGTTATAAGGACATTGCTTGATATTCCTTTGTGGGAGATTGCTGACCTGAATCAACCAAGTGGTGTCGGCGATAAGAAAATCTTGAGAGAGGTCTTTCTCTTCTTTCAAGTTTATTTTTAGTTTACACTGCAATTCTAAATCTAGCTTTTTACATATCTGGTTACAGAATTTTTTTTATTAAAAAAAATCAAACAAACATATACCTGGCTGGTAGTTTTCAATGTGAAATAAGGGTTGGTTTGGAAACCGGAAAATTACTTGATTGACTTCCTGAAGTCATTTTCCGGATTTTATGATGTTTGGCTATTCAAGAAAAATAAATACAATGGAAAATATTTATTTTAGTCAAAGAAAAAAATGCTCATTTTACAATACAAGGTGGACCCTGGTCCATGAAAATATTTTCCGGAAAACGACTCACTTTTTGGAAATCATTTTACAAAAAATATATTTTCTGGTTTTCAAACCGACCCTAAATATAAAAACTGTAAATTTGAGTTATGTATCCATGCCATGTACATATCTGAATGCTGTTGAAATCTTCTTTCTTATGAAGATTGCCCAGTTGCTTGGATTATCTGAAGCAGCTTCTCTGCCCAAAAGAGCAATCCAGGTGTGCTTTCTGAACTTTACATTTGATTTGCACTTTGCAGTATGCACAAAATTTCATCACAAGGGAACTAAACCAGGATATCCAATTCAAATATCACCCAAGCTCCTTCATAATTTCTTTATATCCTTGGAAGCAATGGCCATTTAAACAGTAAACCAGAATGATCTTCAGATTCCTTGATTTATTATTCCTGAATGATGAGACTGCTTTGCGTAATTGAGTCATATTATAAGTTATCTTACATTTCTATGTACAGTTTGGTTCAAGGATAGCACGAGAATCAAATCGCAAGAATTTTGGAAGCAATCGTGCTGCCAATCAAGCGTCTGCCGGAAGTGTAGTAATATACGGGCCATCAAACTAAATCTGTTAGCACTCTCGTGTTATCTTTACTGGAGCTTGGAGAAGCTCGGTTTCACACTGCAACAATGAGGAGAAGAAGAAGAAGAGAGAGAGGAGAGGAAGAAGACAAAGCTATGTTGAATGAAAACTTAAGGAAACAGGGAAGATATCTCTCTTTGTTAGGTTCCAACTTATTTATGCTCTTCTTCCCTAGATCTCTTCTAAAAACTTGAAAATTTTCACTTTTCCAAGTGGAAACTTGCACTGTTCAAGGATAGTTTGAACACTTTTCTCATTTCCCTTGTTGTCACCAAATGGATAGAAGACATCTATTAATTGAATATGTTGGTCAACATTCCACAAATCGAACAACTTTAATATTTTTTTTTGAGTACTACTGACTCGACAATGCAGTTTCTGTTCATAACTACTTTCTCAACCTACTAAAGCACAAAGAGTTGATATAGCCTCTACTAAGGCTCGAACCTACAAGAGAAAGCAATTTGGTGTTACTAAACCACAAGGTCCTTGGCACAACTTTAATATTATAGTTGAGTCTTCATTCAAAACATTTGGGGACTTAAACCACTTTAGAAATAGGGTCCTTATTGTAATTTCTCATCCATCATCTCATTTGGGATTATTCATTCTTCTTCCCCTTATTAAGCTCCACGAAAAAATGGAGTTCTTCATCACCAAATCAATTTCAACCCTAAATAAATAAATATTTGCCTATAATTTTTTAAAATAGCTCTTTTAGTTGGATTTGAATGCCTAGCCCTTAGAGAAGTAGTAGAGAAGTAAGAGAGAAGCAACTGTAATGAGAAATTACCATTACAACCCTATTTCTAATCGTCAACTAACATAATTTTTAACAAAGACTAAATTAATTGAGTAAAATCATGGTCGATGACTATATTGAGTATTAACTCTTTATTTTAATGAGGAAAAAAAAAAAGAAAATAAAAACGAGGGAGATGTTGAGATGCTATCACCCTCACGACGCCGTTTCAGAACTCGTTTGACTGTCGCAAAGACTACCGAGCTCAAGAAAAACCTGCAGTGGCGGCTCTGACAGTAGTCTTACGTTTGCGGCTGTGAAGGAAATCATCAATGGCGACTGAACTTGAAGAACTCATTGGCTTCCTCTCATCTCCTTCTCCCCCCGTAAGCATTATTTCTCATCCACATATATATAAATATCGTGTTTATCTATTGCATATACCACTGAAACTTCGAGGGTTTTGGTTTTGTATGTGTATATAAACCACTCAAATTTAGATCAAGAAAGCGGCTGTAGATATTCTTCGTGACTATACGGGGTCCGACGATGGGCTGCAATCTCTGGGAAGATACTCCAGCATTGTGCTTCCGCCTTTGTCACGCCTGCTCGGTGAAAACAAGGTTTTTTTTTCCTGGTAGCTTTTATGTGTTTATTTCTGTTTCAATTAGATAAAAACACAGTTCATATCTATGAGGAACAAATAATTTCGGAAAAAATTGTAATTTATGCCCCTCTATAATATGCAAATTATCAATGTCAGTCCTGAATTATTAGAGGTGTAACCTCAATTTCAAAAACGGTACATATATTGCCCCTCTCGTAGTGTAAATGTTGCCCCTCAATTTTCCTCCCGTTCGTACGGGAAGAGCAATATATGTACTGGTTTGAAAATTGAGGGGCAACATTTACACCACTAATAATTTAGGAGTGACATTGATAATTGACATATTACGGAGGGGCATAAATTACAATTTTCCCAATAATTTCAGGAATTGGCTAAAGCTTTTATATAAGATAGTTGGTCTCTGATTTGTGTAAAATTCATCAACAATACCTCTCGTTTGTGTTACTTGTGGTCCTATATCAAGGTAGTGGCCTTTGTCTTAAGTAATATATGAAGGAATTTGGTCTATCTCCTTATGGATGATTAACTTTTCTGTCCTGGCTCTTTTGATCACTCAATTTAGGTGGTTTCTGAACCTGGAGCACAAGCTCTTGTGAATTTGTCACAAAAGCCAGAGTTAGCAGGTAAGATGGTCGAGATGAGTATGGTCAAAATGGTTATGGAGGTTCTCTATAAGAAGGATTGTGAAATTATTCATTTTCTGGTTATGCTTCTTGTCAATCTCACACAATTGGATGCCGGTGTTGACTCCCTTATTAAGGTTATTTCTTGTTCCCTTTTTGTTCATTTGACATTAACATGTTCTTAAAGATGAATAAGCTCTTGATAGGATTTTAATCTTATTCCTAATTTCTTGATTTCTTTACCTGGTCAATTAGTCGGGCGATGACAAGATACATGGCCTATATGTCATGAAGCTCGTGAGGTCATTCTGTTCATCCTCCAGTGAGAATAAAGGTGTGTGAAGATCCTAGTCTATTTTCCTTGGCTTTTGCAGTAGGTTCTCTTTTCTTGTTTCCTGTATTTTACAACTTTGGTCACCTGATTTGACAAAATGAGCAAGTAAATGACAGAGGGAGATTGGGAAAGGACCATTTCACATTTTCACTTATGGTGGCTATGAGGAAGAGAAGGATGAGGGTATCTAAGAAGTAGTAACACCGGGAATCGTGGCAGTTTTCTCTACTATCTGAAATTCATGATGTTTATAAGATAAACCTTAACACATGCCTAAATAGTACGATTTTGGTTTCATAGTAGCTGGGAACATCCTTTCGCTTACCTATTGGTTAGAAAAAGTTAAGCCTGAAGAATAGATTGAATCCATAAACCAATTATTGATTGACATTTAGATTATTTTTCATCAAAACCTATGATCATCAGGTGATCCTTTTGAGCATGTGGCTTCTGTATTGGTGAACATTTCAAAAAGAGAAGAAGGGAGGAAACTTCTGCTGGACCCCAAGCGAGGACTTCTGAAGCAGATTATTCGGCAGTTTGATTCAGGAAGCATGCTGCGAAAGAAAGGGGTGTGTGTCAGTGTGTGAGAAATCCATTTTAATTCAATATGGATAATAATGAAGTAGAGATTATGGAATGCAACTTTTCTTTAATATTAACAGTAATTTTTTACTATAGGTCTCCGGAACTATTCGTAACTGCTGCTTTGAAGCTGAAAATCAGCTACAAAATTTGCTTTTAATTTCAGAGTTTCTATGGCCAACTCTCCTATTGCCAGTTGCTGGAAATAAGGTGACTTACTGATTCATATTCTGATACTCCAAATGCTTTTTACCTTTATAAGCTAAAAATGAATCTCCACAAGTTTTATATGATGTTGATACCTGTTAAGAGTTGCATATTTTTCTACTAAGTACTCATCTCATCACTCGTATGATTTCAAAGGGGCTTTAGAACAGAAGGGTAATGGCAAGAAGCTTGTTTGATGGGACGAGACATTCTTAACATGACTATAAGGGTGTACTAAAGATGGTTTGCTGTAGTACTTAGGTTGGTCATATACTCTAGGTGTACTTGTGTTTTTGAGTTTGGAATAACTAATGAAGACTCATCTGCCTTCTTTTTCATTTCATTTCTTCACTTTCCAACATCTTCAGTTGGGTATTAAAGATAATGTTTATTGTAGCATGATGATGATGATGATGATTATGATTATTTTTGTTATAATTTCTAAATGCAGATGAAGTTAATAATTTGTTTCCACTTGTTGATTGACTTGCAACAGATCTATACTGAGCAAGACACATCTAAAATGCCACTTGAGCTTGCAAGTGCACTTTCCATTGAGCGCGAACCTGTGACTGATCCTGAAATTCGTGTACAATCATTGGAAGCTATTTATTTACTCGTCTTACAGGTAAACTTGGCATGTGCTTTTGGGAGGATGTCACCCACAGTAAATTCCTTGGCTATTGAATTAAAAAGATGGGAAAAGAGTCAAATAAGCCCCTAAACTTTATTGGAAATTCAATTAGGTCCTTAAACTTTCAAAAGTTGCAATTAAACCTATAAACATGTTATTTTGGAGCATTGAAGACGATCCTCGATAACTCCGGCGAGATTCCGGGGACAAACACCAGCAACCAGTTGGTCTGCCTTCTCCAATGACTAGTTGGTCGCCTTCTCCAGTGACCAGTTGGCCTTTTGATGGTCGCCAGTCGATGGTATTTGTCCTCGGAAATTGGTCAGAGGGTTGCCGGAACCCTATTGACCTGCAATTACAGGTCACCAACCGGTTTGGGCTTTAATGCTCCAAAATAACATGTTTGAGTTTAATTGTACCTTTTGAAAGTTTAAGGACTTAATTGACTTTTCAAGTAAAGTTTAGGAGCTTATTTGACCCTTCCCTCTAAAAAGAATGGTGTATTTCACTATAATTTACATACATTTTAATGGTGATTTGCGTTGTGCCCTCTTTCTGCACTTGATTCCCTCAGGAGGCCGGTCGAAGTGCATTTTGGTCCGTGAATGGTCCGAGGATACTACAAGTAGGGTATGAAGACGAAGAAGATCCAAAAGCAATGGAAGCATACGAGCGAGTTGGTTCCTTGGTATTGCAAAATCCCACTCTCTTTTCACTTTTTTTTTCCACTCTATCTGCCTTTTTTAGTAAATAGCAGGCTCTTACATTCAAACTCATCAATTACAAAATGTTCTGCTTTGCTAGCTGATCCAAGAGGGTAGCATTGGGGAAGAAGCATCAACGGCCAAATAACAGCCAAAATCTCGCCGGTCATGTGGTTTAAGTATATGGAAACCATTACTTCTGATGGATAAATGCCCAGTCTACTGTCCAGGTATTGACGAGTATAGAAGCCCCCACATGAAACACAACCTTTCATAGTGTTGATTGGAGAAAGGGTATATTAATGCATATCATGAAATGGAACCAATCTTTGTATTGTAGGTTGATTTGTAGCATTTTATGATGAGGGTATAGTAATGCATACTGTGAACATGAACCAATCAACCTAACCATGTCTTGTGGCTGTGGTTTGTAGCGATGCATAAAATTTTGTTTTAAATATTATTAATTTAATCAGATTTTATTTCCCAATTCATTCACTCTCTTGTATTTAATACTAGCCGCATGCACGTGTTGTGTTGTGTGAGACTTCTTATCCAGCGATCAATTAATGTGTTTTAATTCTTAAATAAATGATATTCCGTAATATATAGATATTACTGAAAATAGAAGGATATATAGATGGGGTAATAGGTAATTTTAGCCAAATTGGTTGGCGGCTGATTAACCTTGTGGTGTTTTGTAAGGGTCTATTTGGTGCATACTCTATGGCCCTGTTTGGTAAAAAAATTGGTCTATAGATCAATTTTGGCTTATTTGACCACTATTAATTGTTTGATTTAGTTAAAATATCAATATAAATTGATAATACTAATTGTCACGTAATGCGATAATTAAATAAACACGACCAAATAAAGCAAGTAAATGTCTTTTATTGATCGAGGTGAAGACCCTAAGTACAATCTAAGTGGTTGCTCTGAGTACCGACTGATTGCGGTCGGGATTCTCTAACAACAACCTATCGATCGTCCAAAGTCCCTCACACTGTTGCTATCGCGGGTATTTATAGCCGCGGAGCCGGAGACACAAATCCGGCCGTCCGGCATGCCTCCCACGTAGCAGCCACGTGTCGCCTTCCCGGGTGCCCTGCCTGTCAACGCGTAGAGCCGCCACGTGTTTCTCACCAGCTCTCTCGCTTAAGGGGTACCGCTCGGTGGTCGGCAACGCCAATCGGGTACTACCCGGTCGGGAACCGACCGGGTTCTTCACAAAAAACCTGACCTGCAACCTGCAAAGACAAGAAGAAAAGGACAAAGGCATGTCGGTCGGGGTATTCCCTACCATAAATGTTTGGTTAATTAGTTTTTTCTAACTCCAAAAGGCTCAGATTCAAAATGCTACTCCAAGCAACTTTTTCAATTTGCTTTTTGAGAAAAGAAATTATACCAAACAGCTAACAGCTAATTTACCAAACACTTTTTTACAATCAGCTAATGTTATCAACTATTTATACCTTCTAATTAACACAATCAGCTAACAGCTATCAGCCATTTTACCAAACAGGGCCTATATATAATTATTTTATAAAAAACATGATACAATTATAACACCAAATATGATTTGAGAAAATGTAAATTAACTATTGATTATTGTGATTTACATTATTCTAAATGCCTTGTTGGGTTGCGGTGTAAGGGTCATTGAGGTTGAGGATTCAACATTTCGGAGGAAAAAAAGTAAAAAGAATAAGGTTTAAATTAGCTATTGAACGAAATGTGAAAGCGCAATTTAGCCACCGAACAAAAAAAAGTGTAATTAGACCACTCAACACTCCAAATGTATGCAATTTTACCTGATAGCAGGTTAACACATCATCTAGTAGGTTGCATGTTGACATTGACGATGACTTGACTTTTAAAAAAAAAAAAAAAAAATCATTTTCATTTTTTTTTTTAAAAACCCCATTTTCTTGCATAAAATTTGTTGTAGTATGCACTTAGTCCCAGGGGTGTAAACGAATCAAATGGAGTCAAATATCTTAATATTTGATTCGAATTTGATTATTTTGAGAACTATTCGTATTCGATAAATATTCGAATCTAAAAAATTAAGTTAGACATTTTGAATTCGAATATTCAAGTCGCATCGAATATATTCGAATAATGTAGCCGAATCGAATACGAATAGTTTTTAAAATAATCGAATTCAAATCGAATAGTAAGATATTTGACTCGATTTGATTCGTTTACACCCCTAAGACTAGGTGCGTATTGCAACAGATTTTATGCAAGAAAATGATTTAAAAAAAAAAAAAGAAATGAGAAGGAAATTTAGAGAAAAAAAATGACAAGTCATCGTCCACATCAACATACAACCTGCTAGATGAGGTGTTAATATGCTATCAGGTGAAATTGCATATATTTGGAGTGTTGAGTGGCTTAATTGCACTTTTTTTTTTTTCTTTTTTCTTTTTCGTTCAGTGGTCAAATTACACTTCCACATTTCGTTCAATGGCCAATTTGAACTTTGTTCCAATGTAAAATTAAACATTAGGGGGGTGTTTGGTTGGCATGAATTGCGTTGGAGTTGAATTGCAATTCAATGAAATGATAGAATTGCAATTCAATGAAATGATAGAATTGCAATTCAATGAAATGATAAACTACATTGTTTGGTTGGAAGGAATTGCAATTCCCTTAATTCATTGAATTGCAATTCATAGGTCCCCCCTATGAATTGCAATTCAATGAATTCATGCAAAGGGAGAGGGAAGGAAAAGACATATTTGTCCTTGAATGTTATTATTAATATTATTACACAAAGGATATTTTAGTCTTTATATCACTTTTCCTATTTTCATTATTCCTCCCTACCAAACAATGCAATTTTAATTCCTACTTTATTCCCACCTTATTCTTTTCCCACCGAATTACAATTACTTTCTCCCTTAATTCCTTCCTTCCAACAAAACGCCCCGTAGGAGTACACCATTAATGTGTGAAATTTTGTGCCCAACAATCAATTAATGTGTTTTAATTCTTAAATATTAATAACACATATATGAGAAAATAAAAGCATACATACATAAATAAACATGATACAATTATAACACCAAATATGCAAAACAAATGCAAGCTAAGTTGGAGTGATAGGTATGCTCCTAGTACAACAAACACCAACTTTGGGATTGTTTGGTAAATGACAGATTCACAGATCCATTAAATTTTTGATAGATTCACAGATCCGTTAAAATTTTAACGGATTCACCTGTCAAAATCAACATTTAGTAACATGGTGGTTTGGAGCAACGGTTTGATCCAAACCCTCAATTTTACAAAAAACTGCATTTTACCGTGTTTGCGCAAGACATTTTGGAAAAAATTTAAACTTTTTCCAAAACACCCTTATAATTATTGTTTTGTTTTTTTTTTTGTTTTTTTTTTTTTTTTTAATGAGGAGCTATTAAGACTCAAAATAAATGAGTCTTTTTGAATTCTCAATGCTTACCCATCAAAGAATGGGTAAGCATTTATGTTTGAAAGAGGAGCATTGCTCCTCTATATTAAAGGAGCTCATCTTTCAAATATTTTTTATGTGGGATAAAAAATAATTTCACATCATTTCAAGATTTATTTTTATACTTCGTATCAACGTTAGATATATAAGACTAATGGTGCTTGCAAATTCTTGTGAGAGACTAAAATGGTCACCCGAATAATTCAATGACTAAATTAGATCATTCTTATAATAATTAAATTAAATGACTAAATTTGCCATTATTACACAATTGATGGACTAAATATGTCATTTTTTTTTTCCCAGGACTATGTGGTCCAATGGTACCCGGGTTAAACTTCTATTTGGAAGATTATGAGTTTGAGCCTCACTGGAGGCGTTATTGGTTCTTTGTGTTTCAGTAGGTTGAGAAAGTATATGAACACTTACTACAATGTAATAGAGCCAGTAACTTTCAAAAAAAAAATGTCATTTTTTAATTTTTTTAATTTGTTCTCCAAAGTTCAGAGAGAAAAGCCAGAGCCCAAAGGATAGAAGTTAGTAGGGCAAATTTTTATGTAGGAGGCCATGGTCTACACAATACTGCATATATCATAAAAAAAATATATTTTAATATATTAAAAGTACATTATTTGTGTATTAAATGTATATTATACAAAATAATATATTTTTAATACTCAAATTTTTATGAATATAAGTTACATTTTTAATATACTAAAAGTACATTATTTATATATTAAATATACATTATTTGATACGAAGTAATATACAAAATAATATACTTTATATACAATTGTACATAAATAATATACTTTTTATGTGTAAGTGTGTATCATGTTCCATGCAATAACCAGTCGGTAAGTAGCTAACCATCAGGGATTCGGAACAGTTCTTTGCCGCCGTTTTGCCACGTCATCTACCCGACAATTTATATATTTCCAAAGAAATTTTTTTCAATCCTTCTCAAACAAATTCATCTGAAACCCTAGCTTTAAATTTCCCCTTCTATCTCTCTATATATTTTTGTACGTAGATTTATATACAACTACGGAACATTATATACGTACATATTTTCATCTAAGAGAGTATAGAGGGAAATGGATGTTTCAGATGAACTGTTGGGGACGTTTATGCCGATAGTGGTGTATTGGCTCTATTCAGGGCTATACTCAATCCTGGGAGGTCTGCATAATTACAGGCTGCATTCCAAGAAGGAAGAAGATGAGAAGAACTTGGTTTCCAAGGCGGATGTTGTGAAAGGTGTTGTTCTCCAGCAGGCGGTGCAGGCAATTGTTGCCACCATCCTCTTCGCGGTATGATTTTATAATTATCCATGTTATAAAATTTTGTTTTTTAGAATAATTTTTTTGAATTTTGATCTATAGTTGTCCCCTAGATAAAAGGAGTTTTAAGTTAATGAGCTTAAGGATCATTAATAGCTTCCTTTGCTGGATTTAGTTTAGTTGTATTTGTTTGTTGGATCTTACTTTAAAGAATTTTTGTAAGTTTATGTAAAAGTTTCTATAAACTGGTCTGGATTCCATATGTGGTTGGAATTTGCAGGAATAAGTATAACTAATCGGCCAATGACCTTGTGGTCTAGTGGCACGAAGTGGCTCGGTCATGGGTTTGAGCCCCAATGGGGGCTGTATTGACTCTTTGTGCTTCAGTAGGTTGCAAAAGTAGCTATGAACATATACTGCATGGTAACAAAGTCAGTAGTACTAAAAAAAGATTGGTGCAGGTTTGAAAGTTCCTAGTCCTTAGATTGGAGAAATTTGGTTTTATATGGGGAATAATGAATATAGTAGCACCATTAGGAATTTAAGCAAGGGGAATTAGCACAATCAATCTTGTGTGGCTACACTCAAAATTGGTTTTCGTTTCTATAAATTGAGTACTCGTGTATTTTGTGGCTCTTGCTAAGACAAGGAGGTCTAAATAGATGTTGCTCTAGCTGAATAATTTTAAGGGTAGTGGTCTGTGCTAAATGCTAATACCAGTTTGGTGCCCCTCAGTTTTGTACTTATATAGACCAATCAGTTCTTTATTTATGACATGCTTGGAAGTCAACCTCTAAACTGCCTCACTGGTCGTTGTTGTATTCATTTATTTTTTATTCTGCTTTGTTTAATAATTGGAAAGGAGTTGGCATTTTGAGTTACTGCTCAATGGTACCAGGTGGGTTCTTTGCAAAATCTTTGAACAACATTTTCTTTATGTCTACCAATCAGTTAGTGTCAGTGTTGTTTCATTTATGTTATGAGCAATATACTAGCAGAAGGCTCATGGGGAGAATTAAATTAAGAAATAGAACCCATGTACTAGACCTCTTCTTTATTGGGACTGAGATTTAGTTGAGTTGACTGGGTTTATAAGTCAATTAGTAAAAGCAAGGCATTGTATCTCCTACTATTCCTAAGAACATTCTTATTCATCATTTGGTCAGTTCATGGATGTATTTCAAATGTCCATTAATGATGGCTGATTCACTTGTTCATTTATTATCCATGTGATATGATCCAAGCCTTGTGATTCTGTAATATTTATATGGTATACAAATTTATTTTATTCCTTTCCTGCCACCTTGGTACTATATATAAAATTTCTTTATCCAAAATAGTTACTTAATATTGAAAATGAATGCTTATTATGAGCTTTTGTTCCCTTGTGCTTAACAATTCTAAAGCTAATAATCTAATATTACTCCTTTCGTGGTCATCTGTTTGTCATATGTTCTCTCATGTGAGGATATGATCTTTTTTGTTCTCATGTATGTCTATACATTGACTTTTTGAGCAGGTCACTGGAAATGATGGTGAGGTTGCTATAAACCAGAAATCATTTCTTGTTCTTGCAAGGCAATTTATTATTGCAATGGTGGTATTAGATACTTGGCAGTATTTTATGCACAGGTACATGCATCAAAACAAGTTTTTGTACCGGCACATTCATTCTCAACATCACCGGATTGTTGTCCCGTATGCTTTTGGAGCTTTATACAATCATCCTCTTGAGGGTCTGATTCTTGATACTATTGGTGGTGCTCTGTCTTTCCTTGCTTCGGGCATGTCTCCTCGAGCTTCAATCTTCTTTTTCTCCTTTGCTACTATAAAGACAGTTGATGATCATTGTGGTCTATGGCTTCCGGGGAACCTTTTCCATATCTTCTTTAAGAATAATTCTGCATACCATGACATCCATCACCAGCTTTATGGAAACAAATACAACTTTTCACAACCTTTCTTTGTGACATGGGATAGAATACTTGGTACTTATATGCCTTACGAACTACAACTAAGAGCAGATGGGGGTTTGGAAGCTAGGCCTACTAAAGATTGCAAGGACTATTGACAATACATACTTGGTTGTTCTTACAGAGTATGTGCCATTTTAATTCTCTCTTTCTTCTTTCCTCTTTCAAATGCTCAAGAACATGTACTTTGTGTATATCTACATGTTTGCATATATTGTTAAATGATTAGTTGCTTTAGTTCATACATGTGTTTAAGATTAATTAATGAATTTAGTATAAATCTTAGCATTTGATTTTCTGCTCCCCTCCTTAATCTTGACTTCTTATTTCCCACTCGTGGAAAAAATGGGAGTACACAAGCTAGTGGTAAAATCCGTTGTGTTATTTGTAATAGCTCAATATGGATTAACAGTTTAACACTGGAATTATTGGGGCCTGCTTATTCTCTTTTTGTCTGGTTTAGTTAAAATGCCATCACTTTGGAGTAATTTTCTTTGTTGCAACTTATAGAAGATATGGAGTAATGATCAGTCGAGTAGTAGACATGGAGGTGTGAATTAAGATCTAAGGTAGTAAATGTTTGGCACAACTTGCTTTATTTAGAATTTAGAAATAAGAGGGAAAAACATCATGATCCCTTAATGAGCTACTAATTGTTATGCGGATATTAATGATATCCTTGAGTTACAGCAAAAGGTAGCAAAATTTGTATGTGACTAAGATGCTCATTTCATGACACCTGAAAGAGCAAGTTTGGCTGACAAGTTTTATTTTGTTTTGACATTATATGACAGGCAATGCACGTTTGATCGTATAGATAGCATCTCTGGTTATTGCCGGTGGATCCACCTGGTGTAGGGCCCCTGCGATTTACAGAATGCAACGCGTTGTACCATTATAGATTCAGCAGCCTAAATCCAAATCCTGATAACAATTGATGAATTGGGATTTGGGAATACCACCAAACCAGCATGTCAACGTAAAAGACTATTCTATTCTATTCTTAGCTTACCGAGTGTCTGTTATCAGTGGCGGGGTTCATTATTGATGGAAGTTTATAGGCGGAAATGAAGAGATCGATCTGTGAGCCAGCACTCTGCTCTTTTTCTTCTGTTTGAGGGATGGGAACACAGTGTACAGAAAGAAAGGTTTGTTCTTGGGGGATTGGAACAGTATATTGTATACAGAAGGGTCCTTTTTCTCTCTTTTGTTATCTCAGAAAATGAAAATTGGAAGAAGATATGATTTATTATGAGTATATTCTATTATTGAAAGCTATGTTGCTTGCACAAATACACTTCTATATATTAGTTTCACAAAATTTTATGTACATTTTATGTTAGAAGTGTAATATTTTGTTTTAATGAAAATGAAATTAATTTTCTATGAATTCATAGAAAGGTATAAGGTATTACATTTTCATTAAAGAATATATAATATTATATGTATTATGTGAGATTTACACAAGAGAATTTTAAGTTTAAATATGTTAGTTTTGTTTCTCAAGTCAAACTCCTCTTCAGTTATGATATACTCACATTTAGGGAACACTTGGTTCACTGAAAAATATTTTTCAATGAACTATAATTTCTAAAAGGGAAGGAAAATTGAATTATAATTTGTTTGGTTTATGGAACAATTTTTTTTTTTTTTTTTTTTTCAAAAGGAATTTGAAATCCTCAAATATAAGGAAAATATTTTCTTGGTCATCTTAGGCATCTTTTTCTCCCATTACATTTGGGAACAAATTTCAACCTAGCATGATCAAATTACCCTCATATTATATTGACTATTGAGCATAGTTTAGAGATGAAAGTCATTAAATAATGTGTATGTAAATATTGTTATAATATTTATTATATTATTATAATAATTTAATTTGATTTTAAAAAATTTATAATATTTTAATATACTATTTTTAAATTTATAATTTACTACAGAGTTTATTTTTATTATCAATTATTATTATGTAGGAAGATATTATTATTTATATTCATTATTTCTTATCATTCTAAACTCAACTTAACAAAAGTTAATATTCCTAGCCAATTTTTCTTCCACTCATCAAATCATGGGATTAATCTTTCCAATAAATTATTTCATTAAATTTAAATTACAATCCTCAATTATTTTCCACCAAATTGTAAGCAATTAGAGAATGAAATTTTAGTAAATTCTCTCTATCACTTGTTTTAAGGTTTTGGTTTTGTTTCTTAGTTTTTTTTTTGTTTTATATTTTAACTTTAAGTTATCTCATTTTCAACGGAACCATTCTAAGATCACTTTCAGGATAAATTGCTAATCGCACAATTAGTTTACCGATCAGATTTTAATCTTTATATACACACAAGCGATCTAATTTAGACTTTTCATCTTCCTGTTATAACTTTTAAGTCAAGTGACGAACCAACAACTCTAAACCTCGAGGTTTTTTTTTTTTTTTTTTTTTTTTTTTTTTTTTTTTTTTTTTTTAATATTTTGTGGTGCTGTAGCAGTACCACTGTGGCTAAAGAGCTTAAACCCATAAACCCTTCCGGCCTCGACCCACTGTTCTTCCTTACAGTAACGCATTCTCTGTTACTGCTGTGCCTCGGTCCTCGCACTGTCGGTGGCCACACCGGTGACCGGTCGCCGCCAGCAGGATAGCGGGAGTCGTCGTTGGTTCCTAATCTCAGTCTCAGTGTCTCACAATCTCAGGTTGGTGGCTAATTATTTTTTGCCCTAATTTCTCTAATTTTATTTATATGAATGTGAGTGAGTATGTCTAATAGACTAATATTGTTTTGAATGTGAAATTAGTCCATAAGTTTTTGCCAAAATATTGTTTTTAATCTTGCCTAATAGACTTTGTTAATTGATTAAAGAAAAAAAAGGGTGTAAACCTTAAAAAAAATTGTGATTGCTATTAAGAAATCACAATCAAACTGTTGGTCGAATGTGCTTTTATATGAATGTGAGCACTTAGCAGTGAGTATGTCTAATATTGTTTTGAATGTGAGCAGTGAGAATGTGTATACTGGATTTTATTGGATAACCTTCTACAAAAACACAGTGGGTGTAGACAGAAGATGGCATGTTGGTAGTTTAGGTTATGAGGAGTCTGATGTTAGGGTAGAGGATATTGAGGAGGCAGCAGTGATACATTATGATGGAATTATGAAGCCATGTCTGAAATCTGAATTCATTTTTGGGGTTAGGTTATTGATGAACATTTTTGAATTCATTTTACTTTTGCTTCTTCGCCCCCACTCAAAAGGAATCCTGGCTCCGTCCCTGGTTGTTTGTGAGTTTTCCCTATAGCTGTTCCTGTGTGTGTTGCATTCCATTAATTTTTATTTATTTATTTTCCTTTTACTACGGAGATAAATTCCTAAAAAATGTACTTTGGGTGGTAGAGATGGTATGAAAGTGACTTGGATTTGCCCCTCAAATTAATGGCCAAGATGAAAAAAATGCAGTCTGTGACATGAGATAGAACAAATGAAAAAAAGGAGGAAACTAATGGGAGTGTATGAATACGTGCAAAGATGGTTGAATCTCCTTCGTATTCAAGTTCAAGACTAGCAACAAGCGCCCCGAACTTAACCAGGTCGGCATGCCTAACTCGGCCAGACCTTAGCATCTAAGGTAGAATAACCTTTGATGCTATTGTCGCTCCCTACCCATTTTATGGCAAGCTAGCCAGTTGGCTCGTTCATTCATTGGGTTTAACACGGTCACGCAATCCGTGCGTGGGTGACTTTTTGGTTTTTGAATATTGAGTAGTCGTAGTCATAGACATTCATTAAGTACACACATCATTTATTGATCACCTGAACATGCTGTTGTGTTGTTGTTAACTCACTTATTTGCGCATAGTTTCACCTATCTTTGTCCCATCATCATATTGTTGGATTTGTTGTAGCACTTTAAAAGGCTCATAACCTTTTTCTGGTTTTACTTGTAGTATAATGAATTATTCAAAATCTACAAAGCATTGGAGTGCGGTCGCAGTGTTTGCAAAGCGATTTTACTGTGGGTACTAGTTTATCATAATTATTACTTTTGGCTTCATCTTATATTCTTCTGTAGTATATGCATATATATATATATATATATATATATATATATATATATATATATATATATATATATATATATATATATATATATATTTAATTGAGAATGTTCCCACTGCAGTAAGCACTATGTTGAAATTCCGGTGGATGCCCTCAGCGTCAAAACTGGGTTTGACCCACAAATATCTAGGCTCAACTACCAGCTGAAGAATTTAGTTAGAAGCAATCAGATGGCTCAGGCCCAAGAACTTTATGAACGCATGCCTTCTAGAAATACTTGCACAGTGAATATGATGATTTCAGGTTATGTGAATTCTGGTAATCTTTCTCGTGCTAGTGAGATGTTTGATAGTATGGATGAACGTACAGAAGTGTCATGGACAATAATGATTGGTGCATACTCGCATAATAAGCAGCCCAAGGAAGCTTTCGCTCTCTATGCTAAGATGTGTAGAGCAGGGATGAAGCCAGATTATATCACCTTTGCAACACTATTATCTGGTTGTGATGACACATCAACTGCAAAAGAAGCACTTCAGATTCATGCCCATATCATTAAGTTGGGGTTCAATTCAATCTCCATGGTTGGCAATAGCTTGATGGATTCTTACTGCAAATGCCAACGCCTTGATCTAGCCCTTCAACTCTTCAATGAAATCACAGCAAAAGATTCAGTGAGCTTCAATGCAATGATAACAGGATACTCAAAACATGGTTCAAATGAAGAAGCACTAAAGCTATTTCAAGAAATGCAACATTTGGGTCTGAAGCCTTCAGATTTCACTTTTGCAGCAGTGCTAGGTGCTGTTGTTGGATTAGATGATGCTGCATTTGGGAAACAACTTCATGGACTTGCCATCAAGACCAGCTATGTTTGGAATGTATTTGTAGGCAATGCTTTGCTCGATTTTTACTCTAAACATGACAATTTAGATGATGCAAATAAACTCTTTGGTGAAATGCCCGAGTTGGATGGAGTTTCATACAATATTATAATTACAGGATTTGCATGGGGTGGTCAGTATGAAAAATCGTTCACTCTCTTCCGTAAATTAAATAGCACTACATTTGACAGAAGACAGTTCCCTTTTGCAACTATGCTGAGCATTGCTGCAACTACTCAGAATTTAGAAATGGGAAGGCAAATCCACGCACAAGGAATAGTGACAAAAGCAGATTCAGAGGTACAAGTGGGGAATGCTCTAGTTGACATGTACGCGAAATGTGACAGATTAGAGGAAACAAATGCCATTTTTGCAAATCTGGCTCACAGTTCTGTTTCATGGACAGCCATAATCTCGGTATATGTCCAAAAGGGTCTTTTCGAGGAAGCCCTGAAAGTGTTCAAGGAGATGTCTAGAGAAAATGTTCATGGTGACCAGGCCACTTTTGCAAGTCTACTAAAAGCTTCAGCAAACTTGGCTTCAGTTGCACTAGGGAGGCAGTTACACTCATATGTCATCAGATTAGGATTGATGTCAAATGTTTTCTCGGGTAGTGCACTTCTGGACATGTATGCAAAATGCGGGTCTATAAAAGATGCAAAAAAGATTTTCAAAGAAATGCCCGATAGAAATATAGTCTCCTGGAATGCAATGTTCTCAGCACATGCTCAAAACGGTGATGGCGAAGCTACCCTGAGGTCCTTCGGGGAGATGATCGAATCAGGTCTTCATCCCGATTCTGTTAGTTTTCTCTGTGTCTTAACTGCCTGCAGTCACCATGGGCTCATCGAAGCTGCACAAGAGTATTTCAGTTCCATGACTCAAGTATACAATTTGGACCCAAAGAGAGAACACTATACCACCATGGTCGATGTTCTGTGCAGAAAGGGAAGATTTTACGAGGCAGAAAAATTAATTACTGAAATGCCGTATGAGCCAGATGAGATCCTGTGGTCATCGGTTTTGAACTCATGCAGAATTCATAAGAATCAGGAGCTCGCTCAAAAAGTCGCCGAGCAACTATTCAAGATGGACATATTAAGAGACGCTGCTGCTTATGTCAATATGTCTAACATCTATGCAGAGGCTGGCCAATGGAACAACGTAGCATCGGTGAAAAAGGCTATGAGGGAAAGGGGAATTAAGAAAGTAGCAGCAATTAGCTGGGTTGAAATTGGCCATATAGTTCATAAATTTACTGCAAATGATAGGGCCCACCCACAGATTGAGGCGATTAGAAGGAAAATTGATTCATTGGGGAAGCGGATGGAAAAGGAAGGGTACAAGCCAGACACGAGTTGTGCCATACACGATGTAGATGAAGATATTAAAGTAGAATCACTTAAATATCACAGTGAAAGATTAGCTATTGCTTTTGCTTTGATTAGTACTCCAGAAGGGTCACCTATTGTAGTGATGAAAAACTTGCGGGCTTGTATAGACTGTCATGCTGCCATCAAAATAATTTCGAGAATTGTTGGGAGGGAGATTATTGTTCGAGATTCAAGTAGATTCCATCGTTTTAGAGATGGATCATGTTCATGTGGAGACTACTGGTGACTTAATTGGTAAACGAGTGAATCCTTCATTTGCTTGGAGCTGTTAGATTATGCTATCCATGAGGCTGTGATACCTTTGCAACTCTAAAACGTCGATTACATTTGTACAATCTCTGCCTGTCCCTTGGAAATGATTGGCGAAACTGAAATGATAGTTTGTTACTCTGCTGTAAGTATCTTCCCTTATAAATGTGCCTTGTTTAGGATATTGTTTGAATACATGATTAAGTTTGTGGAAACTAGTTGCACACTAAGCTTTCTTTTGCATGCAGCCAGAGGCATCAATGTTGCAGAAGGCGCTAGTCGGACGCTCGGGGCCCTCTTTGAGCTGCCAAGCAATCAGTTTCAAGGCCCAACGTCTTGCCCCCTTCATCCATGAAAGAGCCTCCTTACAAGCAATCACTACCGCGCAAGAGCCAGATCAAGAGGAGCATGAACCACTCCATGTGAGGCCGCCATGAAGTTACCAGATGAGTCCCACATGACCAGTATCAGGAAATAAACCGCGCGGGAGAGATGTTTGTTGTCCGCACGAGCTTAGCTCAATAGTTCAGTAGACAGTATTTGGAAGAAAAAGAAACATAAAGAAAAAATAGCCCTTTTGTTCCGGTCAATAAATGAAGTCTTTGCCAACCGAGAGCGGACTATTATTAAAGAAACTAAGTACTGAACCATTATTTTTATATATTTTATTTATATCAAATTATTTTTATATTTACAAATTTACCCATATATATATATATATATATATATATATATATATATATATATATATATATATATATATATATACTAAATTCTCAATTCCCTAACTCATTTCTCTGCGAGTTTGCAACATTGCTATTCGACGGTAGGCTCATGTGAAGAAATCTATTTGGTTTGGATTTATTTTAGACGGAGAAATTTAAAATATGCATTGTGGATTTTTTTTTTTCTAAATTTTTAAATTTAAATTACTAGTGAAAATAAATAAATAAATAAATAAATAAATAAATGTGCATTAGAGAATTAGGAAATGTTTGGAATCCTCAAACCGAGCTGAAATCCGAACCGAAACTGAACTAAAATTTGAAATTGAATGATTTCATTTTTCAAAACGAAAAAAATCAAAATGCCCACCCCCACCAAAAACTTACTCCCAACTTTCACTCTCATTAAGTGTTTAAATTTTATTGAAGGAAAAAAAAAAAAAAAAGAATAGATAAAAATCATAACCCACCCCCTTACATCTAGGGATGGCAATATGCCCCGTTGGAAAGTGGGAAGGGGGACGAGACGAGGAGTATACTCCCTACCCCCGCCCTATTGCCATCCCTTTACATTAAGCAATCAAAGCACGACGCATCATAAAGAGCAAGAAATGAAAGTACACGTAGAATTACTGAGTAATATAACTCTCCATATGAAATAGCTAAACTCACATATTTCCATCAAGATACATTTCAGCAGAGGCAGAGCAGTGTAACAAATCAGAACCAGAGATTGAAATTGCAAAACAAATGAAGTACCACTCTAAAGTAGGATATGTTTATCAATATTGGATCTTCTTCCATAGACTTGGTTCTTCATTCTGTGATCGCAAAGCAAAGCTTTGCCTCGTCCCAGGGGCCATTAATCTCGAATTTATACTCTTGAAGCCGTATCAGCCAATAAGGACATACGAAATTGACAAAGATAAACACCGCCAGCAACAAAACAAATAGCAGTGTGTGCAACCGGTGAACAAGAGCTAATGTCAAGACCATTAACCCAAACGAAAAACACAGGTGCAATCGGAACGAGTACTTCTTCACACAGTAGGTGACCAATGGAGCGAATAAAAAAACTTGCAAGGAGAATAGCACAATGGCAAATACATGAAGCCTTGACGGAAGGCGAGAAGCAATGAGAAGTGAAGCCACTATAGAAGCATTCAAAGAGATATTGCTTGTAAGGGTAGGATTATTTTCTAGAGCCCCGGGAGCTTTTACAGTGGATCCCGAGTAATTATGCAGGAAGAGATGGATTACGAGGAGAGAAGCCGTTAGTGCCCATATAGAATCCGAGCTTATAGACCGAGTAAGTGTATGGTAGACAGGAGACAACATATACAGCCCGGTAATAAAGAAGGAAATCTTGAGAACGTAACCGAGAAGAAGATTGAAGGAGAGCATGTGTGCAGTTAAGAGAAGAATGAAGAAACCCAATCCAAGAAGGCTAAAATTTAAAACCAAAAGTGAGTTTTCATTCAAGGAGGATTTGAGAGTATAGGTCCAAACCAAAACCACAAGACAAACAGTGCAAATATACTGAGAAATTGAAACTGAATCAAGTATCACCTTTAGCAAGTCCCTTTTGACCACATTGGCATTCATAATCATATCTTCTAGGAAAGATTCATCTGTGTGATTGTCATCAAAACCAGGTTGCATCCCTCCATAAGCAACTTTTCTCCATTTAGGTTGTGTTGGAAATGAGTTCTCACTCCTCATACTTTCCATCTATGTCATATAACTTCACAAAATCTGTAAATCATAATGTAAGATATACAGACAGTGTAAAATGAGCAATCCTGCTGTGCCCAATCAATAATAATGACAAGAAAATCATCACATAATTCCTGTACAAAAAGTGGTATACATACATATTTTGCTTAAGCATTTTGTCGAACATGTTGAAGGCAATAGAATGTGAGCCCATGTAAAAGCTAAAACCCAGATGAGATTTAGAGATTACCTGCTCAGATCGGTATTCGGATATCTCAATGCACGCTACGAACTGAATTTGGGTTGAATCCTGGAGCCTAGACACGGTTTTTTTTTTTTTTTTTTTTTTTTAATTGGTAGTAAAATGGAAGTCATATGATGACATTGTTGGGAGTCATTCAAAGAAAATGCTTCTTTAATTACTTAGTTCCTTACTTCCTTTGTCCTATATTACATTCAAAATCTTTCTCTTCCCACTCTATAAACGTCAAAATGCACTTTTAGGGATGCTTGAAGTCTTATGAAGGGGAAAGATAAGGAGAACCACACGCGCACCACCACTTGGTTCGTGTGCGAGGTATGGATTGTGACATCATTTTGATAGTCACCTGCACGTCTTTCACTTATTATCAGTGTTGTAAAAATTGTGCCTAAGTACCGATTAATCGGCGCCTAGACGCTAGGCGTTGGACAACCGCCTAGTGTATCACCATAATCGGTGGTCTAGACGGCCGACTAGGCCGCCTAAGTACGGCCTAGGCACCGACTAGGTCGCCTAGTTGATCAATTAGCTATAGTTCCCTTCTTTTTTAAATTGGTTATTTTACTCAAAACGACTTCATTTTGAGTGAAAGATTTTGAGTGAAATAACCCTAAATTGTTCAAACTCTGTTTTAATATTAATATTTAATATTTTAATATTAACTATTAAAGTATTAAATAGTTTATTGTTGTCCAGCCTTAAAAATTAAAAAATTTTAAACAAACTTTAAAAAAAAAAAAAAAAAAAAATACACAGCGCCTAGGCGCCGACTAAGCGCCTCCCGAACGCCTAGTGATTTTTTCAACCATGCTTATTTTTTGTGGCAGGGATAGGGCATGCTGTTATATTTGAGCAATATATAAATAGCCTTTCTTCCCCAACCCCCCTCTTTCACATTCCTTCACCTTCTTCAACATATGCACGTTAATCGTAATTTATGTGTTACCTATTAAGAAGCGTATTGGAAAATCGTAGACTACACCATCTGGTGCATATTAATCGTAGTTTATGTGTTACCTATTGGTAAATCGTAATGTATGTGTTACCTTGGAGAGTTGGACTTAGTTTAGAATTAATAATGCGAGAAATTAATTGGGCTATTGAGCGAACCCACTAAATTTTGGACTATCCGTGGAAGGCATCAGACTTATCGGGTCAATTCATCGATTAAAGCGTTAAGATTAAATTTTGAGTACTACCGACTCTGTCAGAGTGCAATATTTGTTCTTAACTATTTTCTCAATCTACTGAAGCACCAAGAAAACACAAAGAGTCAAAGAAAAATATTGGATTAGAGTGCACTGGATAGAGTAATAGATGATATCAAGACAATTATATAATTTCCTATAAAGTTTAACAATAATTTAGTTCTAAATTAGTTAAATCTCAGTATGATTATTAGGAATATAATTGAAGAAAACGTAAGAGTAAGTATTTGACACATAATATATAGTCGACTACCATCCATTAAACCCTAAAATAAATAATACTAATTACTAAGTAGGGAAAATGATAGTTTTGATATTCTAATTGTAGGTAAATAGTTTATTCAATCCCTCAATTATAGCGTCATCACATTTGATCTATAAATTGTGGATGTGATGATGTGTTAGAAATATTAATTTTGACGGTTAAATACTCAAAATCCAAATTTTGTTTACTTTTTTATTTTTAGGGAAATTTTGAAGCATTTTTCTTCTTAATAAAATCAAATTTATAGTTTAAAGAGTGTTGATTAGGGAATACATGGAGAAAAATATTACAAAATTTACAAAAATAATCTTGAAAAGTTATAGTTTTAGCATTTAAATGTCAAAATTAATGCTTCAATCACCTTATATTAACTAGTTCTACCACAACTTTGATGACTTAGGCACATAATGTAATGTCACATATAATTGATGAACTAAAAGGACTATTTGCCCACACGCAATTGATGGAGTAAAACTACCATTTCCCCATACTAAGTATTATATGTTTAAGTCAATTACTATGTAGTGTGATGACACATCTGTTACAATTCTAAATAGGTGGTCATAGAATCGAACCACAATGGTGGAACATTGATTCTTTGTACTAAAAAAAGATTGAAAAAGTATAGAACATATACTTCTATATTGTAAACAATCATAGTGTTTCAAAAAAAAAAAAACATCAAAACATTTAATATTGTATTAAATAAAAATCCTATAAATTTGGTATTTAAACAATATTAGAAATGTTATATTAGTAAATTATAACTAAATTTGTTCAAGAAAAAAAAAAAAAACTTAATCCATTCAAAATGTGGTAATAAAAACCCAATTCAAGCTAAGGATAAGAAAAAAGAAGCCTAGCCTCTAAAAATGTAGTGTATGACACTTAAAATATAGCTATAATTAACAAAGGATCACAAGTAAATAAACTAGTTAGTCTAGGTTGCCCACAACTATCAGCTCAAACCAAAAATTTGTAATCTTTCAATTACCAAATCAACCGTCCGACCAACTTGACTGGAGATCGGAGTTGCCCCAGCCAAATGCAACAGTTATATATATCTTGTTTTATAATATATATATATATATATATATATATATATATATATATATATATATATTAGCTTGTACTTAGCTTATTAAAGAAGATGCTATATATATATACTCAATTGCTAATCTCCATGAAGATTTGAAGAGAAAATGATAGCCAGAAATGAAATGATGCACACAGATAAATAAAAACCCTAATTAAAGTAGCCCTACTAGATAGTTTCAAAACAGATCAGATAATAATGAACTACATACAAAGACCTACCATCCACTTAGCTACTAATTAACCTAATCACCCAAAATGAATCCACAAATTAAACTAAAACTAAACCACTAACCACTGAAAGACTGAAAGGGAAGTGTCAACTGATCAAGAAGTGCAGCTACTGGGGTAGCCAATCTGGGCTCATATGCAAACCCTTGCAACTCACCTCCTCCACCATTGTTAGAATCTTGATGGACAAAGGGGCAAGGAGGGACCCACACCCACCTCTTGCTACAGAAATCAAACACCATAGCCTTGTCTGATGAGTTCTTGATGAGTATCACCACAAACTCCCCATGCCCAATGCAGTTGAAGCCTTCCCCCTTCTCCACTTCACAGAACTGCACATATAGCTGTTGGGGCATCCTCTCAATCTCCACCCACATGCTCCCACAGTCTTGCAGTGCCCACAGCCTGAGGCTTCTGGGGACATTCAGCTTGCTCTTCTCCACCGCGCCCACCATGAGCAGCCGCCCCCCGGCGCTCGCCACCAGGCTCGGGGAGCGCAAGAACCGCCGCATCGGGGCTTGGATTTTGGACCAGGTGTTGGAGGAGAGGTGGTAGGAGAGGACGCTGAAGGGGCTCGAGTTCATGCAGTAGAATCTCCCCTCCGCGAACACCATCTTACCTTGATATCAAGTATCACAAAATCAGAGAGTCTATAGATTGCTGATGAAAAATAAATCAATATTATGTATTGCTTAAGTGAATGTCAAATTGCAGATATCGAAACTAGAAATTAGAATGATCACTTTTTCGAACTTGGTTTAAGAAAGTCAATGTTATAATCACTGCTGAAATTATGGAATTTCCGACCACCAGAAAGTATCTTAAATCAAGTTGAAAGCTTGTTCCAACCACTTTTGGTATCTGGAAAAACCTTTGTTGCTATTTCCGACCACTTTTTGCTTTCGACTCGATTTAATATAATATATCTAACATACCTGATTCAAAGCTGCAGAGTCTTGGAAGAGAAGAGGTGGTGCCCCAGATGGAGTAGAACCCATTAGCGTCGACATGGAAGCTCTCCGTCGTGAGATTCTTGACTGCATAGGGAGACGTCAAGTCGTCGCCGGCCACCACCAGGTCAATTGAAGAGTTTGCGATGTTCAACCCAATTGAAGGGAAAAGCCTAGGCCTTAGAGTTGGGGGGATTGGGATCAAGGACCCAACAAGGGGGTTGGATAAAAGGACGTTCTTTGAGCCGGCCTCCTCAGAAACCCAACTGATCAGCCCACCGGAGGAGGTGACCGGAAAAAACCCCGGCGGGATCAAAGGGAACGGAAGGCGGTACCATGTGAGCGTGTAGGGATCAAAGAGGAACCCTTCATGTATTGCTCTATCAGAGCCATTTTTATAGATGTAGGTTTTCAAGGTCTTGTGCTTGAAGAAGATGAACCAGTGGCAATGGTGGGATACCTGGAGATAAAGTTCAAGAAAAGTGGAGGAGAAGAGAAGGGCATACCATCTTTTGCAGACTAATCTTGCCCGGAAAAAAGCAGGTGGGGGGAGACAAGCAATGATCCTATCAATTAGCCTCTGAGGGAGTTTACTCCAAATTCTACTGTCCATCCAAATGGTGGCAATGGGGGGTGGTGGGTTTGTGGTCCCACATATGTTCATTGCCATGGTGGGAAAGCCATATGGAAAGGGAAAGCCAAGTGGGGAATGAAAAGCTTCCATTTTTGAGGCAGGAGAGAAGGGGAGGAAAAACAAGGGCAAAAGGGAAAGTTAAGGTTGTCTTTTAACAAAGTTAAACTGCAGATCTCACCAAAATGGAGGTTTGGGTTCTCATAAATTTCAGTGGAGCAAAGATAGAGAAGAGGGGTGGGTTTAATTTGTTGAGGCAATATAATGGGGGGAGCCAAGAGGAAGAGGGATATGATAGTTTCACCAAAGAGGAGGAAGCCAGAAAAGAGACATAATTCTTGGCAGGAATTGAGGCTAATATAAGTTTTTGGCTTCCACTTTGTCTTCTTTTACTCTTTGGTTGCTTAGGGTTTGCTTGTTTTGAAGAGAGGGCCAATGCTTTTATAGAGTCTTTTTTGTCGTAGCTTGTGTCTTCACTATGTTGATCCATCTATCTATCATTTCAGTGTTTTCTTGTGAAGGCCGAGGATAGGAATTAGGAAGGACAATCATCAGACTAAAGGACACACCACACACAAACATATATAAAACGAGTACTAGACTATATGACCAATAACCTAAATTAGTAGACGTATTTCGTGGCCTTTTTTGTTCCATGTAGTTTTTCATCTCTTCTTCAATTATATGGGTGTACCTGGTTTCCATCGGCCAACATAGTGACTAATTCACTCGTTGAATTGTAGGCATGCACCTGTGACTAAGGATGGAACCCTTGACATTTGGTTAAGGATAACTGAGTCTCTTCCACTCAACCACAACCTTGGCTTCAATTATATGGCTATTCTAAATATTTGTAAACTTTTTGAAATAGCTCTAAGTGAGCTTGACTTTGTAAAATCAAAGTTAGGAAATGGTTGAGTTTCCTTGCAATGGAAGTTTTGAAGCTTGTAGGTAAAACAGATGTAGCTAAGTTTTACGATTTTGACGTGTTAGTGTGTGAGCGAAGTATTGCGTTAGTTGCTCAGTAGAAGTAATAAAAATGAGAAGAGAGAAATTTTTATAGTGATTTAGAAATTTTCCTACTTCACTCTTCTCCTTAAATTCCAAGGAGGATTCTACTAAGTATTTGTTTACAGAAATACAAAGTGGCACGAAACGTTCAACTTATACCAATTGATAGTCCTTGAGACAATCACGAGTCTATCTTCAACTTGTTTTTTCACTGCCTGATCAGAGCTAGCGCAACCAAGGGTCAATATCGAAGCCTCCTTACTAGGTTGATCTCCCAACTTCCTTAACTTGAAAGATGATTTTGGTTGAGTGTTGGACTTTGAAAGACCATTTCCCTATTAGTGTATAAGCACACTTTAGTCCAAAAAGAGCCGCTCTTGCTTATCACCAATTTATCTTGCATGTATACTCCTAGGTGTCAAACATGTTGCATTTGTCTAATGGCTCTTTTTGTTCTTCTTCATATGAGCTTCTTATGAGAGGATGATCTTCTTTATAAATTCTTCAATAAAGTTCTCATGATCTTGGATGATAGCATTGAATGCCTTTTATCCTCTCGTTACGATTCCAAAAGACTTCTTCTGGACTACGTACTCTCTTCCAATCCCCTTTCCTTTCGGATGTTCTTTTCAAACTCTTGCGTTCCGGTCTTAATCTGAAGCCCTTCCTTTCGGTTGCTTCCTTCTAGTCAGATAGTTGACGAAGTCTGTCTAGATTTACAATATATAAGAAATGAGGGGTCTATTATGTCTATAAATTAAAATATCCTTTGCATCATCAAAATCTATTAAGAATTATTCCTAACAAATCTAAAATTTGTGCTCAAGAAAATGTTTTTCCAATGGCTATTGATGAGCAACCACAAAGCAACTTAGAGAAGGCACTAGCTAGCTTCATGGAGAATGTTGATGACAAAAAAAATTATGTGAATAATCTAAAATTTGTGCTCAAGAAATTTCCACTTATTTTCAAGAATGGACCCTTTATCAAGAAACTTCAATCCATAATCAAGAAGACATTACTGTATTGGCTACTACATAGTCAATTATACTAAAAAAGAATCATGTAATTAAGCACGATAAATTGATAATTAATGCTTATAATCGTTTGACCAAATTAAGAACAATAAGAACTCACTATTGCAAAAATAACTAAAGTTTCAATAATCCATAGCTAAAAACAATGAGTTTAGATCTCTACCATTGAAGTCTTCCAAAGAAAGTTCAAAAAAAGAGGAAAGAAATTAAATTCAAAAGTGTAAGAATGGAAAAACTAGTAAAAATCCCTAACGATTCTATAAAACAATGAAGATTATAATATATCCCTGTTCCTCAAGCTAACCTCCTCAAAAAGTGTATAGGTTCATGTAATGAAGAAGGAGACCTTTGGCATTTGAAACAAATGTATGAGTTGAAACTGAAATTTGATAATTAAATTGTTCAATTATGATGTTTGACATGACCTCACGGTACAAGATTAGCCCATTATGTTTTATTCATTTGCTTTTATCAGTTTCTCCGATATGCCCACATAGTACATATTCAATTTTTCATAAATCACCTTTTTTTTTGCATTCTCACCCCAACGTTTCTTGATTCACAAAATAAAGCCAAATAATATGAATTATATTAGTGCAATTTTAACCTACAATTAAACCAAAATTACTATCCAAAAATGCACTAATATGACTTGCAAGCCCCATCTTTCCAGAGATGGGGTTAGCCTAAGTGACAGAGAGAGAAAGTAGGAGAAAGAGGAATAGGGTTCGTGCAGAAGAAGGATTTTTGTGAAACCCACGCGATATTTAAAAAAAAAAAAAATCAGAAGTAGCTTTTCCGTTGGCCACCACCCTGGCAACGTTTTATTTATTTATTTATTTTTGGAATAAGGTTCAAATTAGCCACTGAACGTAATTTGAAAATGCAATTAGGCCATTGAACGAAAACAAATACAATTAGGCCACTGAACACTCCAAATGTATGCAATTTCACTTGATACCAAGTTACCATCAATTTTAACAGGTTACCTGCTTACGTGGCAGCTGAGTTGGCATTTTTAATAATTTTTAAAAAAATTTTAAATTTTTTTTTAAATTTTTTTTTTTAAAAATGACGGGCGGCCACCCCGTATTTTTATTTATTTTTTATTTTTTTTATTTCCTCATTTTTTAAAAAAAAAATTATTATTAAAATTTATTAAAAATTATTTAAAAATTATTAAAAATACCAACTCAGCTGCCACGTAAGCAGGTAACCTGCTAAAATTGATGATAACCTGCTATCCGGTGAAATTGCATACATTTGGAGTGTTCAGTGGCCTAATTGCACATTTTTTGACTGTTCAGTGGCCTAATTGTACTTTTTTTTTTTTTTTTTTCGTTCAGTGGCTTAATTGCATTTTCAAGTTACGTCCAATGGCCAATTTGAACCTTATTCCTTTATTTTTTCTCTCTTTATTTCCTTCTTTCACCTTCTCTCCTGCTTTTCTTTCCTTGTAGGATCTAAAAAAACCCGAGCAAAATTCCAAATTATTGGACTTGCTCTAAATAAGATCCGTCAACATCACCCAGTAAGATACAGTAAATTTATTATTACCTATCAATTCGAATACAACATTAATAGGTACTCAATACTTAGTTGCCCATGTACTAGTGATGGTGGTAGCAACTTTATTCATTTATTTTTGTTTACCTCACAACTTTCCTTTTTGAATGAGTAATAAATGTTGTCTTTTAGGAAGTCGGTTGGCTTTTGTTTGGTTTTGGTACGAGAAGTAAATCTGGGTCTCCCTCTGAGGGCCCCCAAGACACAGAAACAACAATGTCTTGTTTATGTCAATCTCTTTATTATGATGTCCCTGATCGGGTCGCCACCCCCACATAAATGGAAAAAGTTGAGCTTATCAGATTTGGAAAATTGTGTTTCCCTTCAAGAAATCTCCTTTTAACGATATAGGGTTACTGATCAGATTGGGAAATTTTGCATTTGTTTGAGAAGGGGAGTACCACTTCAAGCCCTTGAACTCATTTCATTTGTACTTGTTGCCGGAATCCCGTGAAGGATCAAGTCCCACACTAGATGGTTAGAGAAATTGTTGGACAGAGATATGAAGGGTCAAATCTAGCATTATGTCTCTCTAAAATGTGATGGTATAAAGAAAAATAAAATTACGTCTATTACTAGCTATGACTTTTGGCATAGTGATAAATGTTTGATCCTAACAAGTGGTAACAAAACTGTGCAATTAAGCCTAACAGGTGGCTTTTGGCGTATCGGTTAATGCTTGGTAAATGTAAACCAAAATAAACATTATTATGTCCGCTCAATTAGATATGCGAATAATACTCATGAAGTATGGATCGAATGAGATAATGCCAATCTTTTTCAGTTTAATTAGAGCTCTTGAGTAATTTGGTATTATGTTGAGTTTTAGCATACTTACTTTTGCTGAAGAAATCTGTGCTCAAAGAAAAAAAAAAGATAGGTATATGCAAATATTATTTTCCAATTTAAAAAATAGCTTGAAAAAACTCGGGCTTTGATATTGACAAACTAATAAATTTTAGTCACAAATCAATTATGTGGATTGTAGTGCGTATTACAGTACATGTGTGCAGTCTGTTTGTGTCATGAACTATTATATTGAAAACAATAAGATTAACTTACCACATGAATACCAGGACTATGTGGTCTAATGGTATCCGGGTTGGACTTCCATTTGGAAGATTGTGATTTCGAGCCTTAGTGGAGGCGTTATTGGCTCTTTGTGTTTCAGTAGGTTGAGAAAGTATATGAACAGATACTATATTGTAATAGAGCTAGTAGCATTCAAAAAAAAAAACTTACCACATGAATTATTATTCATATCCCTACGTTTGTTTTATTTAAGGAAGACCAATCACTTGTTTATGAGTTATAACGTACTAATCATAAAGAGCAACCAAACATATAGATAAACATGCATAAAGAAAATCGAGACACAAAGATTTTAATGTAGTTGAATCGACAAGGCCCTAGCCCAAAAAGAAGCTCAATTCACTATGCATTTTTAATTAAATAAGACACAAAAACTAATACAAGCAAGTACGAAACTTGAACACTTGATGTCGTCGCTACTCTTTATGTAATGCACAGGGAATTGAGAACATGACTCCCTCGTGCTACAAGATCCCTCTTGCCTCCAGATGCAACTCCTGTTTACAAATGATAGTAACTGATTTCCT